CATATTCAAAGGAGCATATTTTGTATAGTATACAGCGCATGAATATTATACACATGATGGATTTGCATAGCGACTAAAGTTTAGTTGGCTCTTGAAAATACACGAATATCAAATGTATGCAAATAACTATTTTATGTTGATACGCACCTCCATAGATGTCTTATCGTCGGTGCAGGGTAACCTCGAAACCTTGTAGTCAATTGCGGGGAGCTTCCCTTGTGGAGGCTGCGTGTCACCAACAACCCAAAGTAACGCCTCCAGAAGCTGCGACAAGTGAGCTGCAAGCTCCACGTCACTCCTTGTCGCCCTGACTGTAGACAAAAAGAGGTTGTGAACAGAAATGCGCCGCACGAGTAGGACACCTTAATGACAATGTCAAGCCTTCCAAACGGCTTCTCTCATAACGAACACCCTGTCGTCGAATCCTCGATTGTTGTCTCTACTTCATCCCTTGACAATGCCACCACCGAGGCCGAGATTCGCGATGCGCTTGCCGCCCTCCACGCCCGCGAGAATTCTATAACTTCTCGACTCGATGCTCTTGTCGCTTCTCAGGCCGACCTCTCTCGCGATCTAGGCCGGCTAGATCTTCTACGGGCCGGACTAGGAGCTCAGGTCATCGCCGCACGATCGATTGGAAACGACATGCTGGCGACAGCAGCAGATACTGCTGGCCGACTGAGCGACAGAGTCAAAGAACTGGACCTGGAGAAAATTCGAGTCGAAGAGACGCTAGGAGTCGTGGAACAGGTTGCGGAGCTGAAGGCATGTGTTAATGGCGTGGTCGGGTCCATGGGCGCCCCCCAGGACTGGGAGGCCGCTGCTGGATATATATCAAGAGCCAGCAACATACCAGAGGAGATCACAAAGGGTTCATTCGCCGTTGGCATAGTACCCAGCGTCGAAGTACCCGACCCCCCATGGGTGACGCTTGAGGAAGCCAAGGAGAGTTTATGTGGCCTCTTCTTGCGAGAGTTCGAGAAGGCAGCAGAGGAAAGTGACGGAACAAAGGTCACACGGTTCTTCAAGCTTTTCCCGCTGATAGGAAGGGCAGACGTCGGACTGGACGTTTATGGACGATATGTATGTCAGGGAGTTGCTGGGACAGCTCGCGCGACGCTTAAGGATGCCATGAATGGCCAACGCAGGGAGGGATTCTTTTATGCGAACGCTCTGACAAAACTGTTCGAGCATATCGCACAGATTGTAGAAGGTCACGGCGGACTCGTGGAACGCCACTACGGCACCGGCAAGATGGTCCGAGTGATCGAACGTTTGCAGATGGAAGCGGATGTCCAAGGTGGCATTATTGTCGACACCTGGAGCGATGAAAGAGGGATCGACAGAAAACTCACCGACGTCAGGAGTTACCCATTCTCGTTCCTTGTTCAGAGCTTTCTGCCCCAGCCGCCTCGTGGTGGCACACCAAGAGTGAACTCACCGGCTATTGGACAAGGCAACAATCCCCGAGAGAGTGAAGACGAGGGCGTCAACATGAGAGAGGTTGATGGCCTACTCAGTGAAATTGCCGTCATGCTTGGGCGTTGGTCTTTGTACACTCGATTCCTCGCTGGCAAATGCAAGGTATGGCCGAGTATCTGAACCCCTGAACCGCGCTTGTACTTACATGTTTTTAGGACGCTGAGACACCAGATGAAGCCTCTCTTGTGATACCAGATGTACTGGTCAAGTCTAATCTATACCGAAAAGTGTCCACGAAACTCACATCTCCTTACAATGTCATGACTACCTTTTTCTTCCGTCGTTCAGTGGAGAAGGCTTTCCAGCTGGACGAGTACCCTACTGGTCTGTCATTGAGCCTAAGTAAACATATCGAGGGCAACGCTCCGTACATCATATTGGCTGTCGATGATGTTATGTACATTGTGAATACCGTCATTCAGAAGTCCATATCTACCTCACAACGAGATGTTATTGCTTCTGTAGTGCCAACAATTGGCCGAGTGCTCGGTTCTGACTTTGTTGGCATGATTCAACGTAAGATGCGGGATGAATCGTACCCCCGACCTGTTGTTCAGGGTGGATTCCCGCCTGAAGATCGGATCATTCAATTTATTGTTCTCATCAACAGTCTTGACATGGCCAACGAGTATTTGACCCGCATCATCACAGGCCGAATAGGGGAGTCGAGTGACTCGCCAAACGGCGATGCTCAGAACGGACCTCTCAAAGATTCATTCCCCTTCGAGCGAGATGTCATCTTTGTGGCGAATGCCTTGCATACCCTTCAGACGTCATTTATCGGCAAGGCATCTGAGCTCCTCAATGAGGGCATTCAAGTGCTTTTCAACCAAGTCGTGAAGCTTCGTCTAAGACCTGTTCTTACGGAGACATTCCGTGATGCAGATTACACATTATCCGAAGACGACATTGCCGATATTGCTCAGCAGAATGACGAAGATGAGGATGAGCTTTTGGAGCAAGTACCCCGACTCTTCGAACACGGCTGGGATCAACTCATGAAGCCAATTGCACGTATAATGACCCCTGGAACATACACCACCCTACTCGACATCACCGCGCGATACTTATCTAAGATTTGGGAGAAGAAGATCATGGGCTATGCAGGTCGAACCAACGCTCTCGGTGCGATCCGTCTCGAACGTGACTTTATTGCGTTGGTGGACGTAGTCTCCCGTGGAGATTACGCTGTGAGAGAGGTGTTTGGTAAGGTGCTCCAGCTCCTCATGGTTGCCAACATGGAAGACGATGAATGGGACGAAATCATGGCACAAGATGGGGAAGACGAGGGCATTGAATGGGTCCTAACTGAGGAGGAGAGAAGGAGGGCGAGAACCTTGGTTAGAGGGTGATAAAGTGTCTAATGATGGTTTCGATGGACAACAAAAGATGACGTAGATTAGAGAAAAGAGTTCAAAATGTATGAGAATAGATGCAAGCGATGCGAGTATTTGGTGTCATGTTGGGAGAATTACAATTTGCAATTTGGTTGATATCAATGATCTCGACTAGTACTTTCATAAGATTTTCATGAAATATAGAGTTAAATCTGTGATATGTTATTTAAAGAAATGTTTATTCTCTTGCAGACAGTCAGGTTTTGTTAGGATAACGCTTCTTGAGGTCGTTGGTGGCCATCTATAAAAGCTACTCAGTAGCCGTCTAAATAAAAAATGTTTTTAGTGGCACCTGGCATGCCGAGAGCCTAAAGACAGCAATTTTCGATTGGGCATCCCTCTGAGTCACTCTCAAGTCTCAACCATCAAAGTCCAGCCAGAGGCTCCATTTTAGCTCGTCATGATGAGTGAGCATGAGGCCCAGTGTGGTGAAATTTTCCATCACTCAACTATCACGAACCTTGTGCCACAAACAGCGATATCATAGTTTGCGGGGATCCTCACAAACTCTCGCACTCAGAAAGAATACTGTTTTCTATTTTTCGAATCTATTTTCTCATAGAAGCCCGCTACTTTTGTCAGCACTGAGAAAACCACTTACACCACAGAGATTTGTTTCTCAAGCTGTGCCCACGATGGAGACAAGGATAGTCAAAGTCCCTAGCAAGGGATCCCTGGGTCATTTCAGACCTGGAAATGGTCTTGCTAAGCTGGACAGTTGGGAGATTAACCGTGAGAACAATGCGGCTCTCAAGGCACTGGAGGACGCAGCCCACGAGTTACGAACCACGGATACGCCTGTCGCATTCCCTACCGAGACTGTTTATGGCCTCGGCGCAGATGCTACTCGGACACCTTCGGTCAAGGGAATTTATTCTGCAAAGGGAAGACCTTCAGACAACCCTCTTATCTCGCATGTTTGCGACCTGGACATGTTGCGACAGTACATTGGTCACACAGACGAAAATCAAGATCCCATACCAGAGCGTTACAGGGCTTTAATAGAGAGATTCTGGCCCGGACCCTTAACAATTCTACTTCCCAACCCCGTCCCGTCAAAGTTGGCACCTGAAGTGACTGCAGGGCTAAAGACATTTGGCGTACGAATGCCTTCTTCACCCCTTGCTCTCTCCCTCATCAAACTTGCTGGTGTACCCCTGGCAGCGCCCTCTGCCAATGCCTCCACCAAGCCTTCGCCCACAGCGGCTCAGCACGTAAAGGACGATCTCGATGGAAGAATTGAACTTATTCTGGATGGAGGACACTGCCATGTCGGTGTTGAAAGTACTGTAGTGGATGGACTGTGCGACCCCCCTGTTGTACTCCGCCCTGGTGGTATTGGAATCGATGAGCTACGAACTTGCCCTGGCTGGGGAAACGTAACGATAGCCTACAAAGACAAGAGCGAAGAAGGAAAGGCAGCGCCTCGAGCACCAGGAATGAAGTACAAGCATTACAGCCCCAAGGCTACAGTAGTGCTCTATGAGTCAAGTTTCGAAAAAGGGGGTGACGGAATCGCCCTGTCTGACTTCGAGACGGCCAGTGAGACAGTCAATGACCATGCTACAAACGGTGACCGAAATAGAAGAAAGATTGGCGTTATCCGCACTCAACGATGGAAGTCAGGGGCTGGACTCCGATACGCTAACTTTCACCATCTTACCGATGTTAAAGCCGCCGACGAACAGGATGATTCACCATTCCAAGTATACGAAGGCGATTTATTAGACGACAAGGAGCAAGTCATAGGAACAATCCTGGATATCGACCTGGGCCGAGGCACGGAAGGGATTGCGCGAGGTCTCTTTGCAGCGCTGAGGGAGTTTGATCGAAGAGGCGCAGACACCATTTTCGTGGATGGCATAGATGATAAAAGTGACATCGCAGCGGCGGTCATGAATCGGCTCCGCAAAGCGGCGTCTGAAACTAGAGCATGAATGATCATATCAATTAGAACACCATCACCCTGTATTGAAAAGCACCTCCTTTCTTTGACCCTGTATCAGCCAGACCAGCCCAAACCAATGGCGCAGTGTCTTCCTCTTTTAAATTTTGGTTTGCATGCGGCGCTAGAATAACGACAAAACTCCTGAATATCTAGACGTAACCCTTTCATCCCCTTTACAGACCCTGTCGAAGCCAATCCGCCAGTTTCGACTTTCCTAGCTGCGCCAGGTTGTTGACGCCCTGCTCACTAAGGTCAATGCGACCAACGGGCATATCCTGTGTGGGTGCTCGGCTGACACGCTGAACAATGATGGTGGGGTCGGTCTCGAGAATGATGCCGTCGTCGACAATTTCGTCAATGGCGAGCGAAACAAGGTCGTAGTTCTCAACGATTGTTCTCTTATCGACGGATTGCCTGTAGTGACGCTGTTAGTGCATGCCTTGGAGGAAAGCGCAAGCTTGTGAAGGAAGACTCACTTGAAGAGCAGGTGGAGAGAGTCTCGTAGAGCAAGAATGGTGTTGTATAGCAGAATCTCGTTCTCGTCGACACTGCCAACAACATACATCATGACATCTGACTCCATCTTGTACAGCACAATTCTGTTGTCGTAGAGAATAATGTCGCCGGTCTGCTTGGCGGTCTTCTCAATAAGACCCTTCTCGAAAGCCTTTTGCGCCTTGACATCGGAGTAGGGGTTGGCTGAGGCGCTTGCGGGAGCTGTTTAGAACAGTTGTCAGCTGTCGTTGCGCCCAGTGGTATTATAGCGAGGGAAGCTCAGGGGAGGGTGGATGTACCATTGGGTGCTGAATGAGGCGGCTGGAAGTACTTTGCGAATATCCTGGAGCCGTCCTCTGTGCTGAGGATCAGGACGGCCTGAACCGCGAAAAGGGTCATTCCTGGAGACATGGTTGCGGTTTGTTGTATTGTTCGGTAGCTTGTAAGTACTTCCTACCTAAACGGTGGCCCCTCCAGATACAGATGCCAGCGATGCCACACTACGAACGAGGGATGCCGGAAGTAACGTTTGGCCGCTCCGGGACTTCTTATCTTATCGCAGCTCCTTCCCCTGTCTCGCGTAAAGCATTTTACGCGTGCAGGAAAAAGGAGACGCGACTCATCACCCAGCCAATCCCTAGAGTGGGTAGCAGGAAAAATGGTGTCCTAATTCTTAGAGTATAAAAATAAGTAGTCTAAGAGCAATTACCTAAAAGGCATAAAGTGGTCTAGTAATTTCGTCTATTATGCTTGCAGCGGTTAATTTTTCTGGTACCCTGAGGCCCCTCCCCCTCGTTCACTACCACTTTCCGAACGTCAACAGTACCTACTAAGCTAAACAAGGGTCAAGCCAACTTGTCTTTGTTTAGGTAACTTCACTTACACAATTCGCAAAACACAACATTATCCACCATGTCGTCTCCCACGAAAAGGTCGACACGCGGTTCAGCGACTCCTCGCCGTTCTGCTCGCAATCCCGATGCAGGAAACTCGCAGCTAGAGGTCCCTTCAAGTCCTCCTCTCAACTACCAGTCTTCGTCGCCAGGACCCAGCGGTCAGAATGACCTCCCCGGCGGCGTTTCCTCGCCATTCGCGCAGATGACAAACAGCCAGAGCACTCGAGCTCGCAGCAATATCCCTAGCTCGCCTTTTCGCCAGATGACAGATACCCAAAGCGACATTGATCCCCAGAGAACCCCCCGAGCTAACCCAACAACCCCTGCCTACCATGGAGGTGAGAAGCGACAAGACCAGACATATACGTGACGAGACTGACAAGTATAGGATCTTCTCCTGTTCGCTACGATCCCAGCTCAAGCCCCGGAAGGTCACTACGGCATCAGTCGGAGCTTCGAAGTGAAGCAAGTGGACTATTCCTGGGTTCCCAGATTGGTTCACCTGCGCCTCACCGTCGAGGTGATATCAATTCTGATGCAGCACGAACACCTCGTGCCTCTCGTCGGGTTATTCTTGACGACGCTGGTCGTGTGGTTCGTGAGGGCCCAGCTGATGGATCCGACGTCGCTTCATTCGCGAATAGAGACCCTAACACCTCAGAGGCTGATGTTCTCGGTGGACAAGGACAGAGTCTCATCTGGGGTACGACCGTTTCCATCGACGATACTTTTGCCTCATTCAAGGAGTTTCTTCGCAACTTTACACAGAAATATCGTATGTATCGCGATGGTGCGTCTGACGAGGAAGTTCAGAACGATCCTGATGCGGAATCGAAACCATACTGGGAGGCTCTGGAGAACATGCTGCTTCTGGGCGCGACACGACTTTACCTCGACATCTCTGACTTGAATCTTTACCCACCTACACGAAAGCTGTGGCATCAAATTCAAGCATACCCTCAAGAAATTGTGCCTGTTATGGATCAGTCCGTTCACGACATGATGGTAGAAATTGCCCGAGCAGAGACTATGAGAAACCGTTCTCAGAGCACTACTGGCCACCAGGCTTCTCAACACAGCACCCAGAGCTCTGAACCTAATTTCCCTAGCTCAGATAGACCCGAGGAGGCACCCACGCCTCGAGCACAGCCCGACCAACAGCAAGCTTCCCTGGAGGATCAGGTATCTTCATCTATCTATGTTCTCCGACCTTTCGGGTTGGACAAGACAACTAATCTGCGAGATCTCAACCCTTCTGGTAAGTGATATCTCTACCGATGTACTGTGCATGTGACTGACATATATCAGATATGGACCGCCTTATTTGCATCAAGGGCCTTGTCATCCGTACAACCCCTGTCATTCCTGATATGAAGGATGCTTTCTTCCGTTGCAATGTTTGCAACCATTCTGTCAACGTTGGTCTCGATCGTGGCAAGATCCGTGAACCTACCGAGTGTCCCCGTGAGATCTGCAAGTCCAAGAACTCCATGTTGATTGTTCACAACCGATGTTCTTTCGAAGACAAACAAGTTATCAAGCTTCAGGAGACGCCCGATGCGGTACCTGCTGGCCAGACACCTCATTCAGTCTCTGTCTGCGTTTACAACGAGCTCGTCGATTTCTGCAAGGCCGGTGACCGTGTTGAGCTGACTGGTATCTTCCGCGTTAGCCCTGTTCGTGTCAACCCCGCCCAACGTGCCGTCAAGAGCGTCCATAAAACCTATGTTGATGTTTTGCATATTCAGAAGGTCGACAAGAGGCGCATGGGCGCTGATCCGTCAACCCTCGGAATTGCCGGCGAGGAGGATGCTGAGGCTGGAGAGAATGGCATCGAAGAGACACGGAAGATCAGCGTCGAGGACGAGGAAAAGATCCGAGAGACAGCCGCTCGCGACGATATTTACGATCTTCTCTCTCGTTCTTTGGCTCCTTCGATCTACGAAATGGACGACGTCAAGAAGGGTATTCTGCTGCAACTCTTTGGTGGTACCAACAAGTCGTTCCAAAAAGGTGGTAGCCCCAAATACCGAGGTGACATCAATGTCCTCCTTTGTGGTGATCCTTCAACAGCCAAGTCTCAAATGCTTTCGTACGTTCACAAGATTGCTCCCCGCGGTGTCTACACCAGTGGTAAGGGATCATCCGCTGTGGGTTTAACTGCCTACGTCACGCGTGACCCAGAGACAAGACAGCTCGTTCTCGAGTCTGGAGCTCTTGTCTTGTCAGACGGCGGTGTCTGCTGTATCGACGAGTTCGATAAGATGTCGGATGCTACCCGCTCAGTACTCCACGAAGTGATGGAGCAGCAGACTGTTTCAGTTGCCAAGGCTGGCATCATCACTACTCTCAACGCGCGAACAAGCATTCTCGCCTCAGCCAACCCTATCGGTAGTCGTTACAACCCCGACCTCCCTGTTCCCCAGAACATCGACCTTCCTCCCACACTCCTCTCTCGATTTGATCTCGTGTATCTCATGTTGGACACTGCTGATGAGAAGAATGATCGTCGCTTGGCCAAACATCTTCTGTCTCTTTACCTCGAGGACAAGCCTCAGTCGGCTCCTACTGACAACGACATTCTGCCTGTTGAGTTCTTGACCCTCTATATCTCTTATGCGCGGTCTAAGATCCAGCCTGTCATCTCGCAGGAGGCTGCCCAAGAGCTTGTCGAATGCTATGTCGCCATGCGTGCTCTCGGACAAGATGTTCGCTCTGCTGACAAACGTATCACTGCTACAACCCGTCAACTCGAGAGCATGATCCGTCTGTCAGAAGCTCATGCCAAGATGCGTCTTTCCGAAACAGTTACTCGTGACGATGTCCGTGAGGCCAACCGTCTTATTCAGAGCGCCTTGAAGACTGCTGCTACAGACGCCAATGGTCGCATTGACATGAGTCTTCTCACCGAGGGAACTAGTGCTGCTGATCGCAAGCGTCGTGAGGACCTCCGTACTGCTATTCTGCGTCTCTTGGACGACATGACCGCCGGAGGTAACACAGTTCGATGGGGCGACGTCTCTCGCCGGCTGAGTGAGGGTGCCAGCATTCCCGTTGAACAATCTGAGTTCAACGAAGTGATGAGGGCTCTGGAGGCTGAGAATGCTATTATGATCATGGGCGAAGGCGCAAGAAGGACCATCCGTAGGGTGAATTCCGTTGCATAAGTATGATGTGAACGGCAAGAGGAGTTGACAATGTTGAATGTTATACCATGCAGAAAAGATGATGAAGGCTATTATTATATGACTAGAGTTGTATGATGGAGAACCCCCAGGCTGGGTCAGGCGTTTGGCATTATATGCGGGATAGATAGATGTTAACGATTAATTTGATTATCTAAAAACTATACTCAAATTCCAGACTAATTAATACTTAGTATTCTTAGTCCTCCTAAGCCCTAAGTATCCTTAGTATCCTTAGTATTCTTTTGTAATCTACCCTTCGAGGTCTGTTGCCGCCCTCAGCGCATCTCGTAAGGTATCAATCAGATCCTCTTCACTCTCCAGCCCGGCTGAAATACGTACGCTCGCTTCTCTGACGCCCAACCCATCCATATATGCCTTCTCTTCAGGCTTCTTGCTGAAAACCATCATATTATATGGCAACATAATCGTGACATGGCCTCCGAGGTGAGGACTTGGGTAAAATCCAGCCCTATTATAGAAGGATGTAGCTGCTTCAACAGTAGAGAATTCTACAGTCAGAAGACATCCATACCCTGGCTCTGGAAGATCCGGTGTCCCTTCCCGTAAGATGGCATCGTAGTTTGCCTTGTTATCTAGAAGGCTCGGATATTGCACGTTGATGACAGGAGAGTTGGGAGAGGATATGGCCTTGTCAAGAAAGTTTGCCATAGCGAGAGCATTTCGATTGAGAATCCTCGTTCGCTCAAGAAAATCGCTCGAGTTGGAAAGGAGCACTTGTGCGTCTGCGATGAAAAGCTCGTTATGGTGAGACTCCCGAAATAGAGAGTTGAGAGTCTTGTAATGAGATGATAGAGGATTGAGAACGACTGAACCGCCCATGACGTTAGCGTAACCACTGAAGGACTTTGTGATAGATGACAGTAGAATGTCCGAGTGGGAAATGACGTCTAAGTTGGCAAAGCCACCGATTGTATCGTCGATAGTGAGGAAGAAGTCATATTCCTCCGACTGCAGGTGTCAGTGAACAGGGTCTAATACTCATGCAATAGAGTCAACTTACAAGCCTCTTCAAACGAGCAGTATCGGGAGTGTCCAGTGTTGGATTTCCAGGAACTTCGACAAAAACATAACTCACAGACCTACCCGCATCTTTCTCCCCTTTAAGCCAGTTTTCAAAAATAGAAATCCCCTCAGAATCAACTCTTCCAAAATGCTTCATCCCTTGTGGACACTCTTCAATGAGATGGTGATATGTATTATGAAAGACGACACCTAGAAGGACGACAGTGCCAGGACGATGCTTCGTCAAGAGGGTGTTTGAGTAAAAAATGGCAGCCATTCCTGTTGGGTATAGAAACACATCTCTAGACGTGCATTTAACCTTGTTCGCGTCTCTCGGAGCACGATGGAGAAGTTCAACGATCCTATCTCGAAGAGCATCATGAACCTCACTCTCAGGAGTCCAGCTTGGCGACGGAAGAGTTTGCATTCCAGCTTCAAAGGACAATTCCTTGATGTTAGCTACACCCTTGAGAAGCTGCTCGGCTCCACGAAGAGAAATCCCCAGGCCGGGATTCTGCCAGGTGAGCATCATGACCGGCATCGTTGCTGGATTAAAGAGAATCACGTATAGCCGATGGCCAGATATTTCCACACATTTGAATACCACATCACGTTCAGCTACACGATTCTCGCCGCGGTTCGAGTGGGTGATATGGTGGAGAGTATATGGCCATATCGCAGGGCTAAGATAGACCAACGCAGCTTTACCAGCATGGCCAACGTGATTTGCAATCTCGTTACCAAGCTGCTCTTGTCAGTCAACTTCAAATGAGTGGCGGGGGTTGCTCTACCTGAGCAGCATAATGTGTAGCTACGAAGCGAGGGTAGATGTGAACCACTCTCTTCATAGGAGCATGATCGCCATCGCGAATAGCTTTAGCGACGTCCCATCTGGGAAGGTTTGTTATAACACTATAAGGAGTCTGCGGTGGGGGCGCATGTCCGAACTCGGATTGGGTCTTTAGAATTGTCATGATGGATAATGTTTAGAGGTTGAAAAAAGACTGTAGGTAGAGATGAAATTCGTGGGGGAGCCACAGAAACAACTATCGTGTAACGACAGTCCCCTCCCGGCTTTTATATATCGTATCACAGAACCCGTCATTTCGTTGGATAATGTCACAATAACGTCCTTCGTTCAGGATTGTTCAGCCTCATTCCAGAATCCTAGGGTTTTAAAAGCCATTAGCTGCCACATGATCGAGTACATTGGCGGGGCCAACTATACACAGCCGTTAACCTGCTCAGAGACCATGGTCTAGAACTGGAGCTTACAGAGAGTAGGTCGAAGCTTGGACGTCTTTGGCGTCGAGTTTATTTGCCATCAGTCATGAATAGGGTCTTGCTGACGTGGAGGTAGATGGATAATTGCAATAAGTATTACAGCTCCGTACTGATACGGAGAAATATTAGCATGCGAAGCTTTGAGGGCTTGTTCAGCAGACTTCCAGTTTGGGCCGAAGTTGGATGGTGAATTCTGGTAGCAAAAGAATTCTCGAAAGCGGCCAGTATGTTGGAAGTTGTTGCAGTAGGTAAAGGTCTGAAGAGATCGTATGACGCCGAATTGGCTATCGTGAGCATATATTGACTTAGTCAACAAAGATTGTACAATGGCGCTTTTATTTCAAATATCGCCTATCCCTCTCATGACTTCTTTTCCATCTTCTTGCTATAGAATACACTAAGAAAAAACCTGACAAAGGTTGATTGATTACTTCTGCCCGTGCTTATCATGACCACTTCCCAATAATCGCTTCAAGCCACACAGTATACAAATAGCCAGCTAAACAATAACTCTGTATTTTACCAGAGATCCCTTTCTCTGCCCTCAAACGCAAAGTTGAGAGCCACGCCAATGAAGAGAGCTCCACAGAGTACACTCGGTCCCCAGCGGTCGTAGAACTTGACAACCTTGCGAGATCGAATTCCTTGGCTTCTGTAGAGGTACGTCAACACGGAATAACAGAGACTCATAATGGCGAGCAGTGTAAAGACGCCTGCTACCCAGAAGTGAGCTCGCGTAGGATGGCTACCAAAGTTGAGTAGGGTTACAGCAATGGTACCGATATAGATAGAAAATTCGAGCTGCAATGTCATATTAGTTGCTGTGTTTGACGACGATAGAATCTTACTTACCCATCCCAAAAACGTTCTCTCGGCCGCAAAATAGACCTTGGGCTCGACTCGCACGGGTACGTAAATCTTCTTGCCAGGAGGCGCCTTGAATCTCTTGTTTTGAATGACGCCCTGTCCAAACAGACCTTGCAGTCGGTCGCTGCGTGGGACTTCAGTGCTACGAGGCGCGGGTATGGCTGCCTTGAGCGCAGTAACCGTATGTCGTCCCAAAGCCTGTCCAATGTGTCGGCCCTTGGTGGAGAGCAGAGTCGAATAGTAGCGCCAGCCGCCTTCACGTTTAGCGACTTCCAGCTCATAGTTCTCGTCATACTCCTCATCCGAATCGTAAAGACAATCCTCGTTCACGTCAGGTAGGTCGGTTATTTGACCCTCCACATCCACAGCTGGAAGTCCTCGGCGTCGGCTGGCGCCTTGCGCACTCGATTCTCCGTTGTTACCATTAGTTCCGTTAGTACCATTGCGACCAGAACCCTCAAGTTCTTCATCGTCGGAGTCCAGGTCCTCATCATCATCGGATGTATTTGTTGTTCCTGACAGGCCAGGTCGTCGAATACCGAAGTCGTGGGTAACAGGCTTGCGGATGTCGACATCCATCTGTGGCATCCAGAAAGGTAGGAGATCGATTCTATCAGGGAACAGAGTAGCCGTGCCGTGGATGAACTTTGAGAATTTAGGAACAGCCTCGACCAGGTGTGACGAAATAAGCTGTCGAACCCACTCAGGAGGCTCTTGTCCAGCCTGAGTCTGGAGCTTGACCTCCAGAACAGCATAAGGGAATCGTTCAACGTCTTCAGCAGGCAGCTGCGAGAAGGGGAAATCTATACCAATGTCCATACGTCGCCAGTTGTCTCCACAGCGAGAGCGACCATCGAGGTTATCCTCCCTCACCATTGTCAGCTCCGTATCAAGGGAGATTCGTACTCGAGCATCGGCAGGAAGCTGGAACGCAGTACGGTTGTAGAAAGATCGACAGACAGGCTTATAACCCTTTTTGAGCACTGAGTACTGAACCTCGGATGCTAATCGCTCGTCCTCAGCAATGGCCTTTTCAGACTTCTTGCCTTCCTTGCGTGCCTTGTCAAATATGGCAGCAGGGAGAAGCTCTCCTTTCATGTATGCGTTGACATTCTTCTCTTTCATGGAGAACCGAGCCTTGACGGACTTTTCACCAGTCCAATCCTCTCGATGTGTTTTGCGCTCAACGAAAATAGTCTCAGTCTTCATGCCACCATACCAACGCAATCGAATGGCTTCGGCGCCTTCGGTCTTCTTCAGTCGGCCTTCGTACAAGTCCCACGTATCAGGATTGTCGTAGTAAATCGACGTGATGGCTGAATCCTGAGGGTCAAAATCCTTATTGGCATTGAAGACAAGAACAGGCAAGTGCTTCAGGATAATAAGCTTCAATTCTGTCACATTATCGGGATGAACCCAGTATTTAGTCGTTTGACGGATGAAACTGGCTTGACCTCCACCGGCAGCGCTGTCACCCTTGACGGGATTTCCACGAGTTCGGACGAGGTCGTAAAGCTTGGACAACTTGATGACAGACGCGTCGTAGTTTTCCTCGTAAAAGGGCTTGGCTTTAAGTCGGCTATCGAAAACGGGCTTCAAGTACCATCCGGTCATTTTCTGGGCGTGGAGTTAGATCATTGCTGCATGGGATCCGTAAAGGGCGGTGACTTACATCGTGCTTCTTAATGATCTTGTAAAAGCCGGTATAGTTAAGCTGGACAAACTTGGCGAGGTCGTGGACATCGGCAATGATATCGCTGAGATCCTCTTCAAGCAACATAAACTCTTCCTCGGTAGGGCCATTCTCACCGAGACCGCGCTCGTTGAGGCGGTTAACAACTTCCTTGACCTCGCGCTCGCTCACAGCAATGCGACGGGAAATTTCCATAGCCTTCACCTTTTGCTTTGTGTGAACCTTCTCCAGCTCGATCTCGAGCTTGGCGACGAATCGTGTCTCGTCATCTTCGGTCCATTCAGGTCCCTTGGCTGCACCTTTGATAGGGCCAGTAGACCTTTTAAGCTCATCCTTCAGACCATCGTAATCGATATAGTACCACTGATACTCGTGGATAACGCTAGAGCGAAGCTGCTCTCCGAACTTCATGACGACGACACCGGGTCGAACCGATGGGTTGTTGCCCGAGCGGGTGCTGAGCCAAGTTCTGGAATGGGTCTTGAGGTCTTGAACAATCAGCATGTGCGCATTGACGAAATAAGATGTCGCATCCGTGGGATTGAGTTCAACGGCGAGAGCAATAGACGGATGGGTAACAAAGCCAATGGATCAAACAATCAATGGATAGATGCTAGTGATGCAGCTCGTTGCTTGTGCTAAGGGCAGCTCTTGTTATGGTTGCTTACCTGGAGAAAATAACAAGAAGAGAGAGCGAGACAATGTTTTGGTGTAATAGTCGAAGTTAAGAGTCCAGGACTGGCGACGAGACGGAAAGAGGCAGAAATGATCAATTCGCAATGCAAAGGGCAACTGACGACCAACCGTAAAGCGACCACTGCAAGTTAAGTTGGGTTACGGTACGAAAAATGTCAAGGTTTCCCTGCCTCGGATTGATTTCTTGGTCGCTTGTTATCGTCGGCCTCGATCAACAGACTTTAGGTCGCGCGTTATGTGGAGCAAGAAGCCAATCCTGGCTTAGTTGGCGTTGTCCCGGGTTCAAGCTCAGGTTCGAGACAGCTCTGAGTCTCAGCGCATTGACGAATCATAATATGTCCTGTAGCAACGTGCACGTCACTACAAATAGGTCAGTGGGTGGCCAGGGGAACGTAGTAGGCAAGAAAACTGGCGCTGAAGAAGAGAGAGGATCCGCTGAGTTTTTAGCGGCCGTTCTTTCAACTCCATCACGGATCGCAACCTTGAAGCGTCATTCTTGCAGGCACAGATTGGACTATAACACGAACGGTATGCGAGCACAAACTATTGGTTCATGGATTATTCGATGTGACATTTTTAGCCAGTCAGCACTGCACCTAAAGACACTGTATCATCCAGGTTCATCCTTTTACATATGCACGTGTATAACGAATGCATCAAATCAAATCAAATCAACAAGCCCCCAGCTTGTATCAAATCGGCCTGGTAGACTTAGTAGCCTGCTACAGTGGAGTGCATGGGTCAATTCGACTGGGGATGTTCAGTGGAGCAAAGATGAGGCTCGCTCGGTGTCAAATTCGACAATCAAGTCCGTGTTCTACAAGTCTCTGGCCCCGTCAACTTGCACGAATCTGGCAGATTAGAGATTTATCCTGCCTCGATACTCGGGAAATCGGCTCTAATTGATTCCACTCAACCCATTTCGAGATACCTAGACAAACGCCTAGACGGGTGTAACCGTTCATCCACCCTTGCTGCGTCTTGTCCAACCATCCATCAAGACATTAGAAAACTAGCTACTAGGAGCGTAAGAGACGAAATCAGTAGATCGGTTTACGCCACTTAGACCCGACGTCTTAGGCTGTTTATTTTTGTACCACAAAGCTGAGAGGTCAACTTTTCTGGTCCACTAACCATCTCCAAGGCTTGTGTGCCCCTCCAAAGAAACAACCCCGCGACACATTTTTTTATTTTTTGATAGTGACTAGCTGCCCCTCCATAAGTCAAGTCATAATGGCCGCAACGGCATCCAAGTTCGATGATTCTATGCCTGCGCGCATATCATCTGATTGCCCTGGAGAAATTCGGGAAGTTCTATACCATGCTTGGGGCCACGACAGGAGTGGCTTGAAGAACCTCCTCAAAACAACTGGCAAGGCCAATGCCCAGGACCCCAAGACCGGAGAGACACCCTTGCATGCAGCCATCCGTGCTTGCGGGCCTGCTTCCCCCGATGATAATGACGAGGAAGAAGATGGTTCAGTTGAGGAGGCCAGGGAAATAATCCATGATCTTTTCCTTCAAGGTGCCATCTGGAACGATGTCGACAACAACAATGAGACACCCGGCTGTCTTGCTCTTAGACTGGGTCGCAAGTCTCTTTACCAACTTTGCCTCGAGGCTGGAGTTCGAGCAGAGCTTCTGTTCGCTCTTATGGGAGGCTATGAGGAGCTTTCATCTGGCTCAGAGGACGGTGACGAAGAGATGGAGGTCCAACAGGACGACGATGAGGAGGCTCCCCAGCTGGTTTCCACCGAGGACGTCGAACCTACCGTAGAAGAGCCCAAGTTCATTCCTCCTGATGCAAAAGAGAAGCAAGTTACGAGCGAGGAGTATCTCAACTCAAAACTAGTATACGACGATGCGAAGCTTGTTGATTCCGATCTTAATGGTGTCATGATGGCCTGGGAGACGGACATTATGCGCCGTTCCGTTGCCGCCCTCATCCCCGACTCAGCTCCGGGTAAGCGCATCCTCAACATTGGTTTTGGTATGGGTATTGTTGATGGTATGTTCGCCGAGCTCAAGCCCTCGCGCCACCACATTATCGAGGCGCACCCCAGCGTCCTTGAACACCTTTCCAAGGACAAGTCCAAGTTCGGCCCTAGCTGGGAGAAGAGCGGACCTGAAGAGGGTGCCTTCAAGGTGCACAAGGGAAAGTGGCAGGATATTGTGCCCAGGCTACTTGAGGATGGCGAGGTCTACGACGCCATCTACTTCGACACCTTTGGTGAAGACTACTCACAGCTGCGTCACTTCTTCTCCGAGTGCATCATCGGCATCATGGACCAAGACGGCAAGTTCAGCTTCTTCAACGGACTTGGAGCTGACAGAAAGATCTGTTACGATGTATACACAAAGGTAGTCGAGATGCAGTGTGCTGATGCCGGTCTTGACGTTGAATGGGAAGAGAGCGATGTAGACATGGCTGGTCTAGAAAAGGCTGGCGAGGGAGAATGGGAGGGCGTACGAAGACGCTACTGGACCCTGGACAGTAAGACAACCCATACAGCCACCATTTACGATGACACGACCCAGCTAATTTACTTCACAGAATATCGATTACCTATTTGCACATTCATGGGTTAAGCGTACATATATATCCATCAACAGAAATTAGGGGGCTTGTCCGTGACATACTCGCCTTTCGGTAGTCCTTGAGCATCCCCTCGTGTCTATCCGTGCTATGATTCAAGTACACCCCTTTCTCCATTTTCCGGTCCATTCTTAAACCGTTGTGTTTACCTCACGCCTTTGCTAAATCGATTCCGCTTTGAGTTTATTTGAAGTTCTCGGGGTGAAGGATACCCGCCATGTTACCCTCGTTGATTCGCTTAAGCGTCAGGGCGGCAATCAGGGCGGCGCCGACACCGCTACCGTCCTCAGCAGTCAGGACTTCAATAGGGTCCTCGTCCTTCTTGTTGGCCTTCTCGGGCCAGTCGAGAATCTCCCGCAGAGCCTTGGCACCACGCTCCTTGAAGTGGGGGTACTTGTTGAATACGGAACCGTCAGCACCGACATGGCAAGATTGGTAGTTCTTCTTCTTGCAGATAGCAGCAACACCACAGGCCGAGAGGCGGGCAGCTCGTGTGCCGATGAGCTCGGCGGTTCTGCGGATAAGCTCAAGCTCGGGTTGTGTGCACTTCAAGTTCAGCTTCTTGTTGAAGAGGTCGTTTGTCTCGGACAGGTTCTCCCAGGGATCCCTAAGAATAGTAGGTTAGTTGTGATCGTAGTATCAGATGTGTATTATAACGTACTCCTCAATGGCAGACAGGAAGGAGGCATCAAGAGAGTAAGGCTTGCGGAGGAGAGCAATATCTTGGTTCTCGAAGATGTGAATGGACTTGTTGTCGTGAAGGTCGACAAGAATGAGTCGGAAGATTTCACCAAGGTAGAGACCAGCGATCATCTTCTCAAAAGCCTGTTGGCCAGGGCGAGGAGACTCCTTATCAATAATGACATCGTAGGGAGTTCGGGGGAGGACCTTATGCTCGTTGTCGAAAGCACCCCACTCGCAGTTGATAGCCATAGGCAAATCAGCAGGCAGGTTCAGGTCAGCAATCTTGGGGATCGAGCCGCAGTCTTCCATGTATGCGGCGTTGCAGCCTGTGCCGAAAATGCAGCCAATCTTCATGGCAGTATCGGTGTAGGCGGAGGCAATCAATGTGCCGGTAGTATCATTGATGATAGCCGCAAGCTTGATAGGAACGCCCTGTATACCGTGGTCAGTAAGTCGTTGTTGTCTTCGAGGTCAATCCAACATACTCGAGCCTTCAAGGCCTCCTCGAACATGGGGACAATGTTCTTGCCCTCGACACCGTCAATGTCGAAGCCCTTGGTCCATCGCTGGAGGATACCCTCGTCGATGTAGTTCTGGGTGGCGGGGTACGAGAATGTGAAACCAAGAGGGATCTTCTCCAATTTGCTGCAGTCTCCGTGGTGTGTCTCGAGGAACTGGTAGAGACATTCGGCGATGTATTCCCACAGCTCCTCAGAGGTGCCGGACTTGAGCTCCTCGGGCATGCGGTACTTGGACTGGATGATGTCGAACTCAGACTTCTCGTCAGTGAGTGTGATTTGGCACACTCTCAGGTTGGTGCCGCCCATATCGAGGGCCAGGTAGGTGCCGGTTTCATAGCCATCGGGGTATGACATAACCCAGGTAGGGTTCATAGGCTAAAGAGCGCATTAGAAGCAGGATTTGAAATGCAATATTTCTAACTCACGATACTACCGCCCTCAACGCTGAGACCTGCTTCGTGTTAGCTCATATCTCAGTCTGTCCCTTTGTTCGTGTATCGTACCCTTGGCGAGTTCAGAAACAAAGTGATTGGTGATCTCCTTAAGCTTGCTGGGCTCTACCGTGAAGAGATTCTCAAGCTTGTTAATCTCTTCGGCGAGGTCCTTGGGGACATCGGCCATAGATCCTGTCATGTTTGTCGTTAGCAATTGATTCTTGACGTTGTTTTGCTATTTCTTTGTAGTACAGCTGTAAGGGAAATAAAGGGGAAGGTTCTGGAGAAAAGGGAGGTTGCCAAGAGAAACGCATTCTGGTTCTAGTGCTACAAAGGCACTGCCCAGTACCGCGCCTACATCATGAAAGTAGGACAATGTTTGCCAGCTGGCGAATCGAGATGCCTGCTATGAATGTCGACCTCACGTAATACACCATCTCTGGCGGCTCTTTTCTTCTTTAAGCATAAATGTCACGGTTCCAGGAACTGAGTGCACCATGGCGGAAGCCTGCATTTGGACAAGTTCGAGCAGTCAATGGTACGGGCTTTCGATCTTGCACTGCTGGTTTCCCAATCGCGACCTTTATCGAAGTATAGAGGGTTTCATCTTGCTTCTGACGTCTGACTCCACGGTCTGGGCTGAAGATGGAGCCAACATCGTCATTGCAGCTCATTTTTGCTGGTTCTGCCCCACCAATCTCGAACAATCAACAGCTGGCAAAAGTACAATCAAGGCATCCAAAACCACAAGACGTCAAGCTTGGCGGCACGAGGGGAATGCGTAAGAAGTAACGAAACAAGCAATGGGCATACGTACCCTTTCGGGAGGGAGGGCGACGAGGACCAAGACCGACCATTTTGGTGAGGTATGTCTGATTTGGCGGGGTTCGGATTTGGCGGGGTAAGCTCTTGTTGAAGTTGAATAGGAACGTGTTTGGGTTGGGAGGGTTTTCAGGGACAGAACCAAAAAAAGAAGAGGTTGGTATAGGTATTAAGCAATCGATAGCAGTAGGTCGAGGTAGGGGGAGGCAGAGGGTTTTTAAAGTAGCCCAGGTCAGGCCAAACCAGATAAGTTATGGGACAGGATAGGATGGAGGGAAGTAGGTGGAGCAGACAGCACCTTACGTAGCTGCAGAGGAGGTACGAGCTGGGCTAGGCTAACTCGACGTTTGGCTGTGGTAGGCAGTAGAAGCAGCTAATAGATTCTCACTCAGTGAGTGGAAGCTGCCCGTTAAACGGAAGATGCGCAGGGAGCCTCAGGTCATTAATCGGCTGGGCAGTATTAAAGTACATCTACCTGCATGAAGTGTTGACATGTACTTTATTTGAAATCTTATGACCAATTGACCAGTCCCAGGTCATCCCAGGTCCCCGCCAAATGTCTTGTCTTTGGATTCTCGACTCTCAACTATCTCACAAGCATGCAGCATGTACATATCTTTGTAATTACTAAATGCCTGCAGCTGCTTCTAGCTACCTACGCATTGACCGCTTCATCACAAAGCAAAATAAGCAAAAAGACAACTCCTGCTTTGAAGCTGGTCTTGATTTGAAATTAGCTGCCTCACGCTTAAAAGCGCCGGTGTGGTCCGAGACTGTGGATTGGGATTTCTTTCCCCTCGATTACAGCCCTGGTGTTGAGCTCTTGTCGGGCCGTTGGAGGGGACAGTCTAGTGGCTACTAAGTTGATAGTCACGCAACAATAACATATATCTCAATTATTTGTCAAAAGAATATTTTATTCCAAAGGAGTTACCAGAGAAGGACCATGCTAACATAATACACCGACTATACACATACCTCTTCTCTCAACCTCTATGTCGTAGAAAACATGGGGGTTGGCCACGTTGAGTTGATATCTTGAGCTTGGTAACATGATGTCAGGTCACAGTAAGCCACATTTCGTGGGGAGGTCCCCAAGCCAAGGTACCTCTAAGCTTGTTGACACCTCAAGCATTCGACAGCCCGCCCAGTCATCTCTAGCCCCATCAAAATGGTAACAATGGATATGCAAAGCTAATGCTAACATACCAGCCCGGGTCCGGCGCTACGATTCTCCCGTCTCATCAATCTAGCCACGTTTTCATTGGCTGCGCAACCTGACCTACCCTGAAGCTTTCGCTGACGTGCAACGTATGCTTTTTGGGAAGCTGTCTCAGGAGTGCTGCGAAGCTGAGGTGTCGAGAGTTGTGAGCTTGCATCAACCAAACTTTGTTTGTCCACAATTCTCCTCGGCACACGGCCACGAATCTTTTCATACCTGACAGCTTTGGATCTACTCAATTGATGAGTAAATCTTCACCCGAGCCGTCATCATGAAGCCGTTCGCCATTACCACGGCGCTCTTTAGCTTGGTCTCCGCCGCACTCGCTGGCGCAAGCACCGAGTCCAAGACATCAAAGATCATCCTGCCTGCCGACTTCAAGCCTCCCCAGGTTTTCCAAAACGCCAATTTGGTGCACGTCATCTCCCTCGAGAAGAATTACGTCAAAGAACAGATTAACGTCCTTGTTGAGAACGTCGCGAAGGAGCCACAGACAGAGTACTATGTGCCATTCACCACTGAACAGCTACCTCGTGTAGGAGGTTTCGAGGTCAAAGATCGAAAGGACGCGAACGCGGGGCCGTTTGTGGCCGAGACTGTCGAATACGACGCCAACAGGTAGCTTCTTCAAGCTTCACGCCGAGATAATAATGCTAACTCAACACATTAGTGATGTCCAATACTACCGCATTCAATTACCTACGCCACTCAAGCCTGGTGCTCAACAGACGCTCGGCATTACTTACTACTACCTGAAGGCCTATACCCCTTCTCCTGCAGCTATCTCCCAGAGAGCTAGACAGTTCCTCGCCTACGACTTCTCCGTCTACGCACCATCCGCCTACACCACGAAGAAGCAGAAGACCGAGGTCAAGGCCGGTACCTCCAACATTCCCGATTACACAAAGCTCCCTGGAAGTGGCGACGTCAAAGAGTACCCCGTCAAGCAAGGCTCCAAGCTTATCTATGGTCCTTTTGAGGAGAAGCCCGCCGGTGCCGTCTCCCCCGCGCGTGTTCGTTTCGAGTTTCAGAAGCCTGTGACCCACGTCAAGGAACTGGACCGTGATATCGAGGTTAGCCACTGGGGCGGCAACATTGCCTTTGAGGAGTACTACGATCTACACTACCGCGGTGCCAACCTGACCGGCCCCTTCAGCCGAGGAGACTTCACAAAGGATCTGATCCAAGGCAATCGCCCCAGTCATGCGCTCTCCGACATGCGAGTTCCTCTCCAGGTAGGAAGTGTGGACGCCTACTATGTCGATGTTATTGGCAACATTTCGACGTCCCGATTCCGATCCAATAAGCGAGAGGCTCTTCTTGAGATCAAGCTCCGCTACCCTCTGTTCGGCGGCTGGAAGGCCCCTTTCACTATCGGATGGAACTCAGATACTTCCAATTTTTTGCGCAAGACGGCGACTGGAGGTTACGTTCTTCGAGTTCCTTTCATTGAGGGCCCCAAGCAGCTCGAGGGTGTCGAGTATGAGCAAGTCAACGTCAACGTCCTTCTCCCCGAGGGCGCTGAGTGAGTTAATACGCTGATCCTTGTTTGCAATCAATCTAACCATTAAATAGGAACGTCAAGTTCTACACCAACGTTCCCGAGTCGTCCATCATGTCGACCTCGGTTGATCTAACCCGAACTTACCTCGACACCATTGGCAGAACGCATGTCAGTATCAAGGCGAGAAACCTAGTTGACGAGTTCCGGGATCGATACCTCATCATCTCCTACGATGCGCCTTTGTCGAGCGCTCTCCGAAAGCCTCTAATCATCTTTGCCAGTGCGATGGCGGTCTTCGTGACTACTTGGGCTCTGGGTCAACTGCAAGTGGAATTTAAGCAGAAGAAATAGACGTTTAAATAGAACGGGGCATCTGTCTTTGATCGAGAAATCTTCGCTTTGCAGGGTTGCGGAAGCGAATTTTTAAGACAGGATGTAAAAGTGCAACATAGAAGGGAATCTCATAATGAAACAAGTTTCTAGTTTGAAAAGTGAGGAAGCGTCATATGACTGTTAAACGCTCGCTTGGCTTGGGTCATGTTTTAACCAAAACGAGGCTTTGAGTCAGCAAAGCCACCCATTACAAAAAAGCCAGGGCCCAAGCCGTTATTTGCACAGGTTGGCCAGTTCGTAAGACCAGGTCCAGCCTTCTTATTAATAGCAAACTTTACTTTGCTCTAGGCTCTGAATGTGTGGAGGGACTTCGTCTTTAGTTGAGATGGGTGGGTGAGGCAAGTTCCGAATGGTCATCCTTGGTCAAGGACCCCTCTCCTTGTTTGCGCCAGGTTGTGCCAACATGGGTTGGTCAGAAAGAAACCGGGCAAAAGACGCCAGGGCATTGGGCATTTTTGGTATAAGATCAAACGAAAGAACCCTCCTCAAAGACTCACTCACACGTTCTTTTTTTATCTTTCATCGTACAAATCAATAATATCTCATATTTTGGAGTCAATACGCATTCTCACGTTATCTGTCGCAGCAATCAAAACAGCTTGAAACAATCACTCGATATTACTACGACATTTCGCAACCGATAAACTATTCGCGTAACAAACCTTTAAACAAACGCCAACATGTGTTTCAGTGATCCCAAGCCCAAGACCAAGTACTACTACCACGAAGAGATCACGCCTTCTCGGCGATACACCGGTCATCATCACCACCACCACCATCACCATCACTCATCCTCGCGCTCTCCACGAGCCAGCTACACGAGTGTCTCAAGGCGGTCTTACAGCCACAGCCCGCGCACCAGCGAACGTGTTGTCTACGAGCGCCGTTGATCGTCCAGAGAGGAGCAATGGCAAATTGCGGGTGTAATTGAAGAAAGTATGACGTTGTACAAAGCAAAGTAGCACTTGGCAGGCTGCGTTTAGTGGTATTGGCAATGGGTTTTTTGTATTGATGCGGAACGTATGACTTGTGGTGGAGGATAATTGTCTTGTTAAAGATATGGGTACAGCAGGGCGTTTTTGCAGGACAGGATTAAGCACTGCAACGAATGAAATGAAATGAGCTAGACGATAATTTATTGTTACTTATCACAACAGAGAAAGACCAATATGAGAATGAAACATGGGCACGCCTATTTGACCAATATTCTTGGGAGCTACGGATCTTGGGTTCATCACATCTTGAGCTGAGCTGAGGTCTTCTCAGAGATGCCTCTTGGTTGACGTAGGTTCTCTATCGCTTGGGCGGGGTGCGGAGTGTCCCGCAGTGCTGGATCGTCGCTAAAGTGGTCATGACATCACTTTGCATTCCGCCACTGAGCCAAAGGAGCTCTCTAAGACAGCGCGTTACTCCAAATGTAAGTCCCAGTGCATCCGATAACATGAAAGGGCACTCGCGCTTCTGAAAGCAGGGAAAGGTTCTTAGGTAGGTAGCTAAGTATTGTCGTCAACGTCAGTTTAAAATGTTTCTCCAACTTGTTTAAAGCCTGCACGATCCCTGCCCTTGGGTTGACACTGAACCTTCTGGTGATCTCTTACATCCATCCCCCTTGTAACCTCGGAACCAAGTCCCATACGATTTACATTGATCTACTCTTCAAAAGTGGCCCCTCAGCTGAAGTACTGAGTCGCCTTATTTTACTGTAAGCTTGTCACTGGTGGGCGTTGATTCACGATGCTGCTGCTTTGTAATTTGTCTCCTTATGGAAAGTAGGAACAGACAGCGTCTTGAGACGCCAGAACTGACCGTGTAAAGGAAGGCGCATTCGATACAATCCCACATAGTTCTTTCTTGCATTTCAAACAATCAGATACAGAGATCCATTTCGTCGTCAACATGTGAGTTCAACATTTACATCCATCGCCGTACCTCCATCTATTGTTTGCGCGCATCTTCCCAAACTCACCAAGTTCCTATAACAATGTCGCGCTTTAGCTTCGATGCATCTGCCTCACGCAATGGGTCGATATCAGGGGAAACACCAGCTGACGTGATACCCTTTCTCAGGAATCGCGCACTTTCAATTCGCTCCAACAAATCAAAAAACTCTGGCGCTTCTGCTGGTAGTAAGAAAGGGGGCTTCTCCTTTAACTCACTCAGAGGACAAGTCCAGCCTGAACTGTCCCGTAAGCTCTTCCGTCTTATCAAATCCGAGAACAACCTCATCGGCGCTCACGAGACGGCCGGCCGTGAACGAGTTTCAATCGCAACTCAGCTGTCAGAATGGGGTGAGCACACTGGTGATGACAGCATCAGTGACATCTCGGACAAGGTTGGTGTCGTCTTGAGTGAGATGGGTGAACAGGAAGATACATATGCTCATGCGCTTGATGAATCTCGATCATACCTCAAGGCTATTCGCAACACCGAGAAGAGTGTGCAGCCTAGCCGAGAGAACAAGGACAAGATTGCCGATGAGATTCAAAAGCTGAAGTTGAAGGAGCCTGGCAGCACAAGGGTGCCTGTCCTTGAGCAAGAGTTGGTGCGAGCTGAGGCTGAGAATCTCGTTGCCGAGGCTCAGTTGACAAACATTGTATGTTGCGAATTACACTCTTCACCCTCGGTCTTGAGAAAACTACTGACTTAATTTTCAGACCCGACAGAAGCTCAAGGAGGCTTATGCTGCCGAGTTCGCCGCCACCATCGAACGAGCCGAGAAGCAGATTATCTTGGCAAAGCATGGCCGCCGTCTGCTGGAGCTCCTCGACGACTCGCCTGTTGTACCTGGCGATACCCGAGGCGCCTACCAGCATTCTTCTCAGGCTCGACAGATTCTTAACGATGCCGAGGACGATCTTCGTGACTGGCGGCCCGAGCCCGAGGGTTTCTCTACTCCTATTGAGAGTCGATCCCCAACCCTCGAAGGAAAAGGCAAGGAGCCGCAGATAAATGACGATCACATATCTCCTGTTCAGTCTGAGGCTGCCACGTTGGAGTCCGAAACATCTCCTCAGGAGCAAAGGGGTATTAAGTCCTCCGTTTATGCTGAAGTCGCTGGCTAAGAGAATAATTATAGTCTATTGAGCGCGGGGGAACGGGTTCTCTTAGCTGGTGCGAGCTTTGTCTGTTTGTCTGAGCAAGTGAGGGGCCTTACTCACTTTTGTTTGACTTCGCTTGGTTGGTTTATCGCGAGTTTTTAGTATCGGGTAGGTAGTGTTTGGTGCCGATGGGTTTGCTATGAGGTACTGTATGTTTATATCCTGCAAGTACTGTTTGGCTTTTTTTTTCAGTTAAATCATATCAGTTTTTTCGTCATGTGGTATAGTTCTTGTCAAGTTTGACAGCGCGTGAACCTTCCTCAAAGTAAACTTTACGTTATGAAGCATAAAAACCTCCCAGGACGTCATTTGCTCCTTTCTCCTTCTCAACTATTGCAAGCTCCTGACTTGACGTATAACCATGAAGAGACTCGGCAAGCCAAACTGACAACCCAACGTAACCAGTCAACTTACCAAACCAACTGCAAGTATATCTTCCTATCACCGCGCAAGAAGCCAAGGCTAACCACTCATCACAGACGAGGTGCTTGTTCGGCGAGGAAAGCACAGATTCAAAGCAACTAGGGCTGTATATTATCACCAAACCTCCAGCTCAGACATCAGTTGGCCGCAAAGTATCGCTTTGGAATTCTATATCAAAAATACTTCGTCACAACACAATATCACAGGAAGATCTCCTTGGTTACAAGATGTGTACTACACTGCGCGAGTTTACACGTTGCAGCGCTTGCGAGAAACTGCGCCATACAAAAATGTTTCTCACTAAACATTGCAAGGAGTTCTGGAGAACGGGTGCTTGTCCTCATGCTTTGTATCCAACTACAACTTCGTTCATGGCGCAGCATGAATGCTATTTTTGCAATCCGACCAGGTGGGAGAAAGATGAGCAGAAATATCGAAATGATGCGCACGATCAGAGGGACGAGGAGGATGCGAGCGGCGAGGAGACAAGCAACGACGATGACAGAAATGGAGAAGAGTCGGATGACAACACTGAGAAAACATCTGCTGGTCACGACGAGGTGGACACAACATAGATGGAAACGACGATACTATCCTCGCGCCGAAAGTGCGTTTCTTTGAACATTCGTCCAACCTAGCTCTTAAGTCTTAGAGTATAAAAATAAGTAGTCTAAGAACCATAGTCTAAGGAGCATAAAGTGACCTACCTACTAATTTCGTCTCTTATCCTCCCAGCGGTTATTTTTTTTTATTACACTGGGGACATAGTAGTAGTTAAGTGAATTATAAGTTAATATGCAAGTAATTTCAATTGGACTGCCTAGCACCTTGAAAACGGATAACACGTTTTCGCTGTTTAATGTTCAAACTGGTCTTCCTCAATTAAAAAGTCCCTTTGCTCCGTGATCGGAACCACTTAATAAGCCAGCCTTAAATAAAACTACCAAGTAGATAGGTATCGTGTTCATTGGCCCTCAGGGGATTAGAAAAATTGACCGCTGGAAGCATAAGAGACGAAATTAGTAGGTCACTTTATGCTCCTTAGACTATGGTTCTTAGACTACTTATTTTTATACTCTAAGACTTAAGAGGATATGTTTCATGTCAAGACATTGAATCGATCATGGCCTTCTTTAGCTCTTCGGACTGCCGTTGGCTGTGCTGTGTGGATATGACACGGCAGATAAACCAGTCAAGTTTAGCACAGCCGAGACCCATCATGACATCCAAGATCAGTTAGTTCTCCGTCAATATCTTCCTTCCATTGACCGACTGAATTTCCGTCTGGCCTTGCAAGAAAAAAGACCTCGGTCTCTCTTGTCACACAACAGCCGATGACCGCGGTGTAAGTCTACCTGGACACGGGCAAGGTTTCCGTGCACTCACCGTATACTTCTTGATATCAATCCCTTAAAGCCTCTCTACCTCCTTCTATTCCTTTTCCCCGGGGCTGCTCCACTCTTCGCAGCCCCTCAAAGACTGCTATTCATGTTCTACCGCCGTCTGTTATTCCAGAGGTCGCTACGCACCACTACAGGCACTGGAACACTGCTGCATAGGCCCCTCGCAGCGCCGTTACCACTGCTGTCATCTCGCGTACCAGGACGGGCCAATTACATGGCGTCCTCTACAGCACGCAGCCCTGTTGCTGCTACAGACTCGGGTTCGGGCGGGAGAAACAGTGCCCCGCCCCCTCCATCCTCACCCCTTCCCTCTGCTACGTCAACCGCCAAAATCTCTTCTTGTCGGACAGCTCAGATTGCTCGACACTTTTCCACCTCTTCATCACCCACCGGTCCTGTCTCAAAGCAAAAGCCCGACATGGCCTCCAACTACACCGTCCGCAAGGTTGCGGCTCCCAACACCCTCGAGCACCGAGTCTACATCGAGAAGGATGGACAGCCCGTCTCTCCTTTCCACGATATTCCTCTCTATGCCAACCAGGAGCAGACTATCCTGAACATGGTCGTTGAGATTCCCCGATGGACCAACGCTAAGCTTGAGGTATGTTTTTCCTGCATCAATTGCTGTTATTTCTTGCCTCGTGTCTTCCTCACAATTTGTTGCGCTTTATCAACAGCTGTCGTGTGCCCCAACATTACCCCTCCCCCTCATGGCGCAATCACCGCCCAGACCAACAGAACAAAATAAGCGTTGATGCTAACAAAATCCCTCTCCAGATCTCCAAGGAGGAGCTTCTCAACCCTATCAAGCAGGATATCAAGAAGGGCAAGCTTCGATACGTCCGAAACTGCTTCCCCCACAAGGGTTACCTGTGGAACTACGGTGCCTTCCCCCAGGTATGTTGACCGAATCTATCATGATCTGAATGTACCACTAACTCTATCACCAGACCTGGGAGGACCCCAACACTGTCCACCCCGAGACCAAGGCCAAGGGCGACAACGATCCTCTCGATGTCTGCGAGATCGGTGAGCTCGTCGGTTACCCCGGTCAGATCAAGCAGGTCAAGGTCCTCGGTGTCATGGCTCTCCTCGACGAGGAGGAGACTGACTGGAAGGTCATTGTCATTGATGTCAACGACCCTCTCGCTTCCAAGCTTAACGACGTTGAGGACGTTGAGCGACACCTGCCCGGTCTTCTCCGTGCCACCAATGAGTGGTTCCGTATCTACAAGATTCCCGATGGCAAGCCCGAGAACCAGTTTGCCTTCACTGGCGAGTGCAAGAACAAGGAGTGAGTGTTGCTACTTCGTTGCTGCCATTTCAAAACTAACACCCTTTTCTAGCTACGCTCTTGACGTTGTCCGCGAGTGCGCTGAGGCTTGGGAGCGTCTCGTCACTGGCAAGACCCCCTCTGGCGGTGTTTCCACGTAAGTTTCTCATCCTGGTTGACATGCAAGATTCATACTAATTCATGTATAGCACCAACGTCACTGTCCAGCACTCTCCTTCTCGCGTCAGCCCTGACCAGCTTCCTCCTCTGCCTGCTAACGAGGAGCTCCCCGCCGAGAAGATCGACGCTTCCATTGACAAGTGGTTCTTCATCAGCGGTGCCTCTGCTTAAGTGTTTATAGACCATCTTGCATAAAAAGAACAATTCGGATGGACATCTAGTCTTCACAAAAGTTGAGCATAAATGCTCGGAGCAATGTAAAACATGATGCCAATTGTCGTAATATTATACAAGACCCCTGTGTTGCCCCGCTGGGATTCGTAGATGTACATGAGTCGTTTCCTCAACGCCGTCAATGCATGATAGTGATACAGTAAAGTGGTATTTTAATCGGTCAAATCGGCTGCCTTTTGCAATTGGCGTGAATGTCGGTCCACCTCCTCGACAAGTCCCTTGATGTTGACCTTTTGGCAATCAAAGTTGAGCTCTTTGCCATCCTCTGTATCTGGTTAGCCATTGACCCCTCCAACGCGGCTATACGAGACAACGTACTGAACTTAACCCGTAGAGAGCTAGGTTCTGTAGAATTTCGAGGTAGAATCGTCGATGTGATGTTTGTTCCGTTGGCTCGAGCATTCGGGGGTAGGAATGTGAGGAATAAACGAGCTGGCTTCGCGCAGGTCGAGAACGGGTTGAACTTGGCCGAGACCTCTGTCATGAATTTTGTAATCATCTCGGCGGCGGAGGCACAGCGTGCGGGCAATTCGGCGAAATTAATTAAATGAGGGCGTCGAACGTGGTCGTTAATTCACCTAGCCGTTATTCGGCAGCTTCACGATGCTGAAATTTCGAGGTCGGAAGGGTGCCTCGGTACATGCATATTGTCCTAAAGGGGCATCATTCGACCACCGTAACGTCATGATGCTAATGGACCACGTTTCGAGATCGACTTACGAAGGCACGTACATACCAATTAAATTTCCACCCCGACACAATATCACGACTCGTGTAAGCCCGAAATGTCTTTCGAGGGCTTGCAAGAGCGCCTGACTGCTCTACAAGAAACCACCGTACAGCTCAAAGAGCTCATCGACCGACTCGGAACGCTGAAATTCCAACCTGGCTCTGTGCCCCTGAACACCGACGAAGAGAGTAGCGAAAGTGGCGAGCTGAGTGTAGAAATTACAAGTACTTTACGAGATGGAGAAGAAGAGCATGAGCTTCTGCAAGAAGAGGTGGAATTCCTCCGCGGTGCAAAGCATGATAAGGTCAGGTTGAAAGAAGGTGTCGAAAAAATTGGAAAGGAGCTCGAAGGGTACGACTTACACCAGCCTCTGTCTTGAATTATTTCTAATACGATACAGTTGTCGCCTATCTTTTCGAAAAGCACGATTGGCAGCGAAACATAGTCTTGCGCAGGCGCAAAGGCGAGAACGCGAGCTACTCCTTACATCATTTTCACAACCAGCATCCGAGAACAACTCTCTTTACCCCGACGACGAAAAGCCCAACCGTGCCCAACGCCATCACTACCACCCCCAACAGCAACAGTCCAGCCTCACCGAAGAGGACCAGCAGACTGTTGGAGCAAGCGCCAATGTGACTAATGCTCTACGGCGCACGCACGATCTGATCCAGGCGGAGCTGGCGCGAAGCGAGTTTGCGCATGAGACGCTGACTGAGTCATCCGCTGCGTTGAAGAAGCTGAACGAGTCGTATACGGATTTGGATTCGATGCTGGCCAGCTCGAAGGATTTACTAGGAACTTTGCTGCGCTCGCAGAAGAGCGATACATGGTATCTCCAAACGGCATTCTACATGCTGGGTATAACGCTTGGGTGGCTACTCTTCAGAAGGTTGCTGTACGGGCCCATGTGGTGGCTTGTCTGGCTACCTCTGAGGTTGATGTTTGGACTGGGCACCTCGGCTGGTAGCGCAGTGATGCACGCCGGGTCTGGATCGGGCAAAGTGGAAGAAGCTGGACAGCCGAGCAAAGGTGTTCCCGTTGAGGGTCTGCCTGGCGATGACTTGCCCACTATCCAAGTTGAGACTGAAGAAGCTGAAATCTTGGAGGAGGTGGATAAGATTGTGAATGTGATTAGGGACGCAGAAGAACTTGGAAATATTCCCGAGGGCGATGAGGATAATGTTAAGAACCCAAAGAAGAGGATGTGGGAGGAACCCGAGGTCGTTGAGCAGGAACGCTCTAGAGATGAACTATAAAGCAATAGTCATTTAGTTTTGCGCCAACAAATGATCAGTTCCCAGGACCGCGTAACCATGAGTATTATGACTACTAAATGGTTGTGAAACTCACTTGTATGTGTGAGTTACATTCATCATAACCTGAGATATTCATTCTCTTATCCCTCATCATGGCCCATGATCCTTGTAACCACATGTCGAACCTCTCCTTTCAACTTCCATCAAAATCCGGTATCCTTTTCAACATGCCTAACTTTTTATTCCGCATATATCCACTGCATATTATCTATCGGAGTATGTACATACAAGATATGCCTCTCCTTTCTATGTTCGCTGGGGGGCAATCTGTTCAACTTCGCTGATCCAAGGAAGGCCAAGCTTCTTCATCTCAACAGCGAGTTGAAAGAGGTAGTCGAGACTATTATGTGTCAGTGTGAAGTGCTGGAGGTGGCTGATCAAATGGTTTCTTACCTCTCGCATTGAGTCTTGGCCTTGTGGACATTGTCACCCCAGACGTAGACACCATGACGACGGACGAGAACAGCATATGTATCGGGGTACTTGTCCATAGCCTCTTCGAGATACTCAGTCAGATCCTCTTCATGAGGGGTGTTCTCAATGACAGGGATGCGAAGGGTATCATGGTAGCCCAAGTTGCCTGTCTTGGACATGCCACGGCCAAAACCCTTAATCTGCTCGATGTTGTTGATCTCAAAAACACGGTCCTTTCCAGGGCCTTGAGACTCAAGCAGGAGAGTAACGAGGACAGCCCATTGTGAGTGAGTGTGGATGCAGCAACCAGCTCCTCGACGGGTGAAGGCAGCGAGGAACAGAGGAGTACACTGAGAAGGCTTGTAGCAGGGAGGGGATCGCAGATATGTACGCTGGTTGATCTTGTTGTGGTTGGGGTCCTGCTCAGAGAGGGCCATGACATAGATGTCGGTGTTTTTCATAAGCTCTTTTTGCACGCCTGAGGGGGCGATGTATACGAGATCACTATGGCCGTTATATGAGTATCATTCGTATACGCATTGTCAAAGATGGCTTGATCCAAATAGCAAAGACTGGTTTGGCGACCCTCCTCACTTGAAGAGGGGAGTAACACATTTGGCGATAGCTACTTGAGTCAAATTGGGGGCATAAAATATTTGCGCCTCCTCCAACTCATGATCGCGGGGTCGCGGGGTAAAGCAATGAATGGGTCAAGTGAAGATAAAGTCAACAGCAGTTAGACATACTCATCTCGAATAGAGCAGCCACCTCCAGTACCCGTGACCCAGCCCAAGTTCCAGAACTTTGCGCATAGCGAGGGAATTAGGTTGGCAGGATGGTTAGGATCCTCCGAAGTAATGAGGGCATCGCCAGTTTGGCGTTGTTGCTCAGCTGCCATCTTGCCTTCTTTAGGTCTCGAATATGTTATATCCAAGATTAATTTAGTGAGTATATCGGAGCAGCCGAAACGGATGTCGGAAGTGGTTGGCGGCTGTGGCGGTCTCGGTGTAACAGCTTGTGATGCACAGGGAAATGAGATGATATCACGGTCAAAGCACAATCAATGGATATGGAGTGCAGATTTTGGTACCAATCTTAACACCCAAAAGCCATAGGTGCTTAGCCTAGGATTTTAGAGCATCTTAGTGGCTGGAGAGTCTGTAGGTGCCCTGTGCAATCACAAGCGTCACCGTTTCTGAGAGATGAGAGAGATCCGTCCAATTGACAGCCACAAATTTACCATTTGAAGCAATGGCTGTTAGGTTAAATACAGTCTAACTAATTGAACAATTAGAAACAGTAGCTTGAGAGCGTTTGGCGCTTATAATGTACAAGCGTTAGATGTATTTCCCTTAATCCATTTGACCGCAAAGACCTCTTGTGCGACGTTTTTTTGTTCTTAATATGCAATCCAGATTCCAACATCTCGATGCTATGCGCATTCATGCTTGAATCTGATGTTGTATTGCATCTGGTGGCAAGTCAAGCGTGCTATGAATAGGAATGGGGACGGAAAGGCCGAGAACGGTCCAGAGCCGAACCAAGGCTCTGCCTGTTGCGTCGTGAAGCTTCGACGATACTTCGCCCGTTGAGACAACAGGTCAATGCATTAACTCAAGGGTTCATATCCTATCTAGTAGATGACTCAAAGTTTGAGATGTACGGTAGCAACGGCACCTACCTAAACGGTGGACGAATGCCTTGGAAGAAACCTGATCTGATGCCTGGGAGTTTAAAGAACTGGTGGATAATATTAATTAAATCTCACTTGTTTGATGAGTGTGAGAAGACCATCTTTTTTCTTGGTCTTGGCCCTGGACCTGGCTTTAATGACCATTTTCAGCTCTCACGCCGATGCCGGGAAGCTAAGCCCTGATCCTAGTACTCAAGTATAATAACCGTAGCAGTACATATAGGTACGGATGGATATTCGTACAGGGCACATAATTCGCAAATGCCCCTAATAACGAAAGGAATAAGTCCAACGGCATTGGCATCCATCCCAATATGGGGAGGACAGGGATGGTTACTACAGAGCTCGTATTCATGGGAGAGCATGAGCCGACAGCTTTTGCAGGTGACAGGCGACAAGCGACAGACAACAGATCAAAGCCAGGCCCTGTCTGTGTCTAGGTTTGTCGTCAACTCACCCACACTTTTTTCCGACTCAGTTTTCGCTACACGCGCCAGAAGATGCGCCATGTACGTGGCTCTCTTGTCTCTATGAGGGAAGAAGCGAATAGAAGAGAGTTTGTTGAGCACCTCTAGTGACAGTGCATTGACATGACGCTGGTGTTAACCAAACAAATTCACTCTAAAACAAAGTCTCTCAATTCGATTCTCCAGAAATGGTCTTGAATTCCTCGGCCCGTGTTGTTACTCAGGAAGAAAAGGCCTCAAGATGAGCAAAGTGGCTTTTATTCATCACAGTGATGCACATGCTCGATATGTGACTATAGTAATATATAAAATATTTTACGGCACTGTAGATACTGTAAAGGCAAACCATTCCATGTGTTGTTATTATTGTGTTGTTTGTCTAGTTGTATCGGATTGGCTGGATTGCAAACACTGCCCTGGTGGTTTAGAGTCTCGGACACCCTTCCGCTCGCTCTCTCACCCCTTGTAGCTTGCTTCCAAATGGAGGCAGGGTCTATTGTTGTCTGGCCTAGTCTACGGATGGCATGGTCACCCCCTGAGACAAACTCGAGTCCAATCGATTTCCAGATCCTTCCCTAGTGCAGGTAACTAAAGTTAGACGCTGGGAGGACAACAAAAACATGAGAAAGCAGTAGGAAGAGTCAATTTGAAGGCTGCAAATCAGTGTGACAAGACTCTAATTTCTGACAGAAACAACACAATGTCCAGACTACCACCTATTCAAGAGGCTCAAAGACTCAGATGGTGGCCATACCTCTCAGCAACACGAGGTTATGGAGGCGAAGCTGGTCATGATGGATGGATGAATTGATGGTCAAAGTGGAGGAATAGGATCAGTCTATGTGGGTCAATGTTATTTTCTGCCTCTCAACGTCTTTGAGAAAGCATCATAAGTCTCTCTGCCGAGCCCAGGTCTAAGCGACGTCCCGATCATCTGAGCAAGAGAGAGAAAGAGAGAAAGAACCATTCACAGACAAAAGGACAACAAGGGTAAGAATACTGCAGGATCTGCACTGAGCCGGAATTACAGGCGACTTGATCCAAGCAATTGGGCGTTTCCTCCCCCAGTCAACCCATGTGCGGGCTGGCAAATGAGTGGTGGTTTTCTGCATCATGGCTTGCAAATTTAAAATTGAGGTTTGGGCTTTTTTCCCCAGATATTATACCAAATTACTACTGTGATGTGATCACACCTAACTAAATACCTAACTCACCCGATGGATCGACAAGGAAATCTCACGCCCTTGTCGAGTCTCCTCTTTCGTCTGTCTCCTGGGCTCGCTACTGTCCGATTGTAACTCTCGCTCTCCAACTTGTTCAACTCTAATAAGTGGTGGCACAACGTGAAGATGTATTGTTGTGTGAGGCGGGGGGTTGCGTGGCATTACCAAAGAGACCAAAAGTCCCCCTATGTCGATTTGATGGTGTTGCGTTGCCATGATACGGGACCCCGAATATGTTGTATGCATCATGCGTACAGAAAGCTACTGTTCAAAACGAACGGCAAAGCGGATTGATCAACCCGTGAAAGACCATGGGTCTCTCTCAGTCCACAATCTTCTCTTCCTGATCAAATTTATGGATCCAAGCGGCCACAATTCTAGCGCCATCATGGGTCCCTTTCCTCTTTTCGCTCACCCCATGTTCCCTGTCCCACCTCATTCAGTGGACCTGATGGATCCCTATCCCCCGATGAGCCGGGGGGTGCAGCCTTGGCGCTCTCTTCTTGTTAGTGTGACCTACTGTTGATTTCACTCAGCAGTCCTAGAGTCCATTTAGTTGGGCCTGGGGTGATGGGGTCTGAGACTTTGCTTCTTGCCTGGTCTTGTCTAGCTCGAATCTGTGGGTTGCCTGGCCTGGCCTGGCCTGACCTGACCTGAGGGGGGTGCCCCTTTGCTCTGTTCTGCATATGTTGCTATTAGCTACCTACTCGAGAATTCATAAAAGGACTGTCCAGCCCCGTCTCTTACTGACTTCTTTCCTTTCCCTCTTCACCCTCGTTGTCATATCAAATCTGTCACTCGTTAGACCAGACTACCATTCCCACTTTCGCTTTTAAACTACTTTACTCAACTAATTCTAATACCAACTCCAAAAACCATCAACATGCGTTTCACATCAATCCTCGCTGCCGGCGCTTTCGCCACCATGGCCGCTGCCCAGAGCAAGACCGTCTCCCTCGACCCTGCTCAGCAGTCTCAGGCCGACTGCCTCTCCGACTGTGAGCCTGGCGATGTCAAGTGCCAGTCTTACTGCATCACTGTATGTTACAACAACGATTCCCCTGTCATGTGTAGAAAACTAACAATCCCAATAGGTTCCCTCTCCTGACGAGAAGAACATCGAGGAAACCACCAAGTGTGTTGCCGCCTGCCCCAAGGGCAAGGGCTCCGAGGCCGACACTGAGAAGTACACCGTTTGCATGAACGAGTGTATCGCCGACAACTACTGGAAGTCCGTTGATGGTACCCCCCGTGGCACCGACGTCCCCGATGTCAAGAGCAAGGCCTCCGAGGCTGCCTCCTCCGCTGCTGAGAAGGCCACCGCCACCGGTACTGCTGCTGAGTCTGATGCTACCGCCACTGGTGCCTCCGCTACTGAGTCCGAGTCCGGCTCCGACTCCAGCTCCGAGGAGACCGGCTCTGCCTCTGGCACTGCCACTGGTACCGCTGCTGAGGTCTCCGAGACTGGTAACGCCGCCTCTTCCCTCGTTGGTGGTGTCTCCTTCCTCGGTCTCGTTGCCGCTATCTTCGCTCTGTAAATTGGGTTTCCTGCTTTAGGATAATCTGATTTGGCATGACGGAGAAGGATTTAATGGGTTTTATTACAGCGGTAATGATTGGAGTTTGGATTTCAAGATGTGACACGTTGGACAGCATGATAAGGCCTACGGGTCTGATCAATTTCATGGACAAATTTTGTTTTTTTGGGTAATCATTTCGCGTTCACATATGGCTCGGCATATGAGCATGAATACAATACCTCTTTTTTGCGCCTCAATTCATTCCAATTTCTTGTGATCTCACAGTGATTCAACTTACAAGTTGCGGCGCGACCACTGAGGTCGTGTCTGATGTGGGTCTTCTGTTTGTGATTGGCTCATGATTCCCAATCGGGTGCTTCAAACGTTAGTTTGTAAACAAGCGAAATGAGGGTCTTAGGATGCATGTTCAAAGCGCAAAACCCAATTGAATTCAAATGTTAAAGAATCATCGAGAAGAGCGAGTTACTGAGGTGAATTTGTGCTTTCAACTGTCAATACCTCCCTCAGAACAAATGAATTGAATTATTATTCACACTCAATGCCCAATATTCTAAACATGTTCGTTGTAACAGAGTTTTAATTCCTTGACGCCACAATGTTCCTTGGTAATTATCGCGCCTGTCACATGAACTGGCTCCTGAACTTAAACGTTGGTGACCCAGCAACTCGTTTATCAGGCTTAGGGTAGCTGTCATACAACAAACAAACTTGTACAATTGATGTTATTGATGAATCATGTATAGAAGAGCACAATTGATTTAAACACAGATAAACTGGTCGAACCGATTTTATCAGGTTGTGTGAACATGCATTGCCGAATCAGAAACCAGAGTAAGACTATCTACAGTTCCATGAAGACAATTCACAGACTGCCAGAAAGCAAGGTACTGGAAGCACGAGAGACAAAATTATTGAATTAGCTTATACAATCTCAAGGTAGACTCCTGTGACGCTTATTACTACACCTTGTAGCTTAGTGGTTAATTGTTCTGTTAACCTTCATCCCAGACATTGCCCTTATCATCTCCACCTATGGTGAAGGTATCAGAAGAGTTGGCCGCTTCCCCAATTACCATTAGCAGAGCAAACAATAAGTCTATTGCTAAGAGGCCGGTACGCTTACTGTTCTGTGCACCGTTACAATTGCTACTCTTTATATGATAGACAATTTTAATAAACCACCATGATCCCAGGCTCACGATAATCTCAGTAATTCATCCGCCAATAGTCCTACACGCCTTCCTGTTCTCGAGCCTTCTATGGGACTGGCAGTTGGGAATGCCAAACCGAGGCCTTCCACCAAATTCCCCGCCTCCAGTACCTGACAGTGGCAGCCGCACCTTCCTGCCTTAGTGGCTCCGGGCCACCTTCCCACCTTTCCCCCGCCTTGCGCTGCGCCTGTCGGTTCATGATCCCTGAAATTTGTGTCGGTAGCGGCTCTGAGCTTCTACGTGTCCTCAACACTAAGCAGAAGCTCTCCACTATTTGTTAAGACGCCACCTCTCGCTTCTTTATTTCATCCATTCCACTTCACTCTTGGAACTCTTTAATCTCCTCGAGCGCCGGGAATTCACTCATAAATTGAACCTATTATCAGCATTTGCACGTCTTAGGATCGTGTTTTTGTTTTTTTCTTCCCCTCCATCCCCGCAGCTTCCTCAGTGACGTCTGAAACTCATTTGCCTGAGCTATCTTGTCACTTCAACCACCATGAAGTTCAACGCTGTCGCAGCCGCCGTGTCGGCTGCTGTCCTTACGGGCAACGTTCATGCTGAGGACGTTAAGGAGGCTTCTCCCGCCGTCCCCGAAAAGCTTCCCACCTTTACTGTAAGTCTATTTTTACGGCGAATTGGAGCTTCATTATCTTCATCGAGCTCATGAGCTCGGCCGGTGGTCGATTGTTAGCTAACACATTCCTGCACAGCCTACAAACATCAAGGCTGACTTCCTTGAACAATTCACCGACGATTGGGACCAGCGATGGCAACCCTCTCACGCAAAGAAGGACACGACCGGCTCTGAGGAGGAGTGGGCATACGTTGGCGAGTGGGCAGTTGAGGAGCCCGTCAAGTACAAGGGAATTGATGGCGACAAGGGTCTTGTTGTCAAGAACCCCGCCGCTCACCACGCCATCTCCGCCAAGTTCCCCAAGAAGATTGACAACAAGGGCAAGACTCTTGTTGTTCAGTACGAGGTCAAGCTCCAGAGTAAGCTTAACCTTCAGCCTGCTGAGTGATTGCACATGCTGACATCCTGTTCACAGATGGCCTCGAGTGTGGTGGTGCTTACATGAAGCTCCTTCGCGACAACAAGGCTCTTCACCAGGAAGAGTTCGCCAACACAACCCCCTACGTGATCATGTTCGGTCCCGACAAGTGTGGCCACACCAACAAGGTTCACTTTATCTTCAACCACAAGAACCCCAAGACAGGCGAGTACGAGGAGAAGCACCTGAACTCTCCTCCTACTGCCAAGATCACCAAGACCACAGAGCTTTACACTCTGATCGTCCACCCCAACAACACCTACGCGATCAAGCAGAACAACGAGGAGGTCAAGACTGGCAGCCTCCTGGAGGATTTCTCCCCTGCCGTCAACCCCCCCGCCGAGGTTGACGACGCCGACGACAAGAAGCCTGAGGACTGGGTTGACCAAGCCCGTATCCCCGACCCTGAGGCCAAGAAGCCCGAGGACTGGGATGAGGAAGCCCCCTTCGAGATAGTTGACGAAGAGGCCACCAAGCCTGAGGACTGGCTCGAGGACGAGGCCGTTACCATTCCCGACCCCGAGGCTGAGAAGCCTGATGACTGGGATGACGAGGAGGATGGTGATTGGATTGCACCCACTGTTCCCAACCCCAAGTGTGCCGATGCCTCTGGCTGTGGCCCCTGGACTCAGCCCATGAAGCGCAACCCTGACTACAAGGGCAAGTGGACCGCGCCTTACGTCGAGAACCCTGCATACAAGGGCACCTGGGCTCCCCGCAAGATCAAGAACCCCAACTACTTTGAGGACAAGACCCCTGCCAACTTTGAGCCCATGGGAGCTATTGGCTTCGAGATCTGGACTATGCAGAACGACATCCTCTTCGACAACATCTACATCGGTCACTCCATTGAGGATGCCAACAAGCTCGCCGAGGAGACCTTTGGTGTCAAGCACCCTGTTGAGAAGGCCCTCGCTGAGGCCGATAGGCCCAAGCAGGAGGACAAGCCCCGATCTCCTAGCGACCTGAACTTCATGGAGGATCCTGTTCATTACATCACCGAGAAGATTGACCTCTTCAAGGCCATTGCTGCCCAGGACCCCATCCAGGCTATCAAGTTCGTTCCCGAGGTCGCCGGTGGCTTTGCCGCCATCCTCCTCGCTGCCGCTGGTCTGATTGCTGTCCTCTTCAACCTCGGCAAGTCGTCTCCCGCTGTTCAGCAGACTGCTGAGAAGGCTTCCACCAAGGCCAAGCAAGTCAAGGACAAGGCTGCTGAGGCCAGCGCCACTGGTGCTGAGAAGGTTAAGGGTGAGGTCAACAAGCGTACCACCCGCAGCCAGTCGTAAGGGGAAGACAGAAAAGATCTAATCGGACTGGGATTGTATTAAAGGAATCATACACTTCAAATCGTTCAGAGGAAATCAAGGAGTATGAGAAGTAAGAAGCAAGTTGCGGAGGAAATATTCACAATTGTTATGAAATGAAATTTTGTTCTTTTGGCGCATCAGATCAGCGATACAGTGATATCAACCAATTGATAGCTTTTTTACCCAGGCCACGTCTCAATTTTTTCCCCTGTGATTTGTTACGATTGAGAAAGTAGTCAAGTGCAAGCGTAGTACTTTTTCATTTCATGTGATTGATTATATGGTCAGTTAGTAGGTAGAGTCGATTCTTATCCGCTAGCAACAATAAGATTGATGTCCGAAACCGGCGTGTACTCAATCATGGACAGTGTCTAGATAGCATCTGAACCATCTGCTATTCTCGGTATGATATCAAGATAAGAAACAATGTGTTCTGTTAACATGTATGCTTATTTGTGATATCCGGAAGGTCTTCCCGGTGTCTGATATAAGACGACAGGTGGCTATCTAGGAAGAGATATATATTTTTCCGGATTAGGCAGGCGAATGGAGACGGAGAATAGCAAGACGTCTACTTAGTCTCATGAATAGTTACTGTCCTATTTTGACCAGTGAGAGAATCGGATTTGGAGAAGAACCCCGAAAGATGAGAACCATGGGATCCATCGGCACAGCCGGTAACCAGCGGGCAAGACGGAGCTCGTTCGGCAATTACCCCACACTTTCCAGAAATGTCAACCGATTCTGGAGGGTAGTTGCTGGCTTATCATGAGTAGCTCATTTCGCCCCGCACAGTGACGAGCCAGAGACGTCTTTGGTGGTGACTTCCAACCATGAACGGACATGAGCCCCCTTCCAATTGCCTCCGCACCGGTACCATAGCCGGTGTAGGACGGTCAATCTCTCAGTATAAAAGTCTACGAGTCCCATGACCTTTTTACATCTTGACTTGATTGTTGCTTGCTTCATTGGAAGTTGTAGAGGACAATTGCGCTTCCCTTCTCCTCCTCGTTAGCAACTTATACATACCAACCACATCTTTCTTTACCGCCGCCATTATGCGTCGCGCAATCTCTCGCGGCCTGGGAGCCTCAAGCCGCTCTACTCCCGCTCTCTCTCGATCCTCCATTCTTACATCCTCCAGTGGTCCGTCCCACGTCGCTGCCAGGCGCATTCATGCCACAAGCAAGCAGCTTCAGCCTGTGACGGCTGCTCTGGCTTCCACCGCCAACAGCTACCCTACCACACACGCAAAGGTCGAGGTTGTCGATACCCCCTACTTCATCGACAACAAGTTCGTTGCCTCCAAGGCCGATAAATACATTGACTTGCACGACCCTGCTACCAACGAGCTCGTCACTCGTGTCCCTCAGATGACCGATGCTGAGATGAAGGCTGCCGTCGAGAGCGCCGAGAAGGCTTTCAAGTCATGGAAGAACACCAGTGTCATCTCTCGACAGCAAATCATGTTCCGATTCGTTCAGCTCATCCGTGAGAACTGGGACCGTCTCGCTGCCAGCATTACTCTCGAGCAGGGCAAGACTTTTGCTGATGCCAAGGGTGACGTCCTCCGAGGTCTTCAGGTCGCCGAAGCTGCCGTTGCCGCCCCTGAGCTCCTCAAGGGCGAAGTTCTCGAGGTCGCTAAGGATATGGAGACCCGAACCTACCGCGAGCCCCTGGGTGTTACTGCTGCTATCTGCCCATTTAGTGAGTACCTGGTCTTTTACCACGCCGTTGTTCAAGCTAACTAGTAATCTAGACTTCCCTGCCATGATTCCCCTCTGGTGCATTCCCATCGCCACCATCACTGGTAACACGCTTATCCTCAAGCCCTCCGAGCGTGATCCTGGCGCTGCCATGATTATTGCCGAGCTTGTCGAGAAGGCTGGTTTCCCTGCCGGTGTTGTCAACATCATCCATGGTGCTCACCGCACTGTCGATTTCATCCTTGATGAGCCCGCTATCAAAGCCATCAGCTTCGTTGGTGGTAACAAGGCCGGCGAGTACATCTTCAGCCGTGGATCCGCCAACGGCAAGCGTGTTCAGGCCAACTTGGGTGCCAAGAATCACGCTGTCGTCTCACCCGACGCCAACAAGAACCAGTTCATCAACTCCATCGTTGGTGCCGCTTTCGGTGCTGCCGGTCAGCGCTGCATGGCCCTGAGCACCCTCGTCATGGTCGGCGAGACCAAGGAGTGGCTCCACGACGTTGCTGAGCAAGCCAAGAACCTCAAAGTCAACGGCGGTTTCGAGGAGGGAGCTGATCTCGGCCCTGTCATCACCCCTCAGAGTAAGGAGCGTATTGAGAAGCTTATTGATTCCGCTGAGAAGGAGGGCGCTACTATTCTTCTCGACGGCCGTGGCTACAAGCCCAGCAAGTACCCCAACGGCAACTGGGTTGGACCTACCATTATCACCAATGTTACCCCTGACATGACCTGCTACAAGGAGGAAGTCTTTGGCCCCGTCCTTGTTTGCCTCAACGCCGAGTCCATTGAGGATGCTATCGACCTTGTCAACAAGAACGAGTATGGTAACGGTACTGCCATCTTCACCAGATCTGGCGCTACTGCTGAGATCTTCCGCAAGAACATTGAGGCCGGCCAGGTCGGTATCAATGTTCCTATCCCTGTCCCCTTGCCCATGTTCTCTTTCACCGGCAACAAGAAGTCCATTGCTGGCGGTGGTGCCAACACCTTCTACGGAAAGCCCGGTATCAACTTCTACACTCAACTCAAGACTGTCACAGCTCTGTGGCAGAGCGCTGATGCCGTCGCTAAGAAGGCTGATGTCTCTATGCCCACCCATCAATGATCAAAACACGACTTGGATAAGCGAATTTTTTATTTTTGGAAGCAAGCAAAAGGAGGAGGCAGAAAATGAACGGTTGATGTGGAATGAATATCATAATAACTAGCAAACAACAGGGGCATAAACACCCGTTGGATGAAATTTCAAAAACATTCAAAACTTCAGAAAATGCCCCATCTTCTTGTGTGATCTCATGTTCTGGTGTTTCTTAACTAAGTCTTGTTGTCTCTTTCTTTCATTATTCAAGCTTGTGCCCTCTCTATATCATGGTCACTGTGGTCTAGGTTACGCATCCCTTTGGTACTTCAGGTGTCACTATGTACGGTCACTAGGTATTTAAAGAACGGGGATGAATTTGTTAGTATATGGTTCGTCACCTAAGCAGCAAACTTGGGTGAATATTACATGGATGAATAATGTTACCAAGTTAATGGAATTGATGGGAATCGAAATCATCATGCCATTCGCATTTTCTTAGGACTTTATATAAAGATGTTCATGTTGGTTCTGGTTCTACAAATTCATCAGACACGCTGACATATACAACATAACTCTACAAAATGGGACACAACACTTCCCGTCCTTTTCCCAACTTCTCAAAACGGAAACCAAAAACAAATGCTGAACAGCACATTTCTACCAAGAATCAACACAGTGGCCGAGCACGTATCGTTGGGGTCTCGCAGATACCTCACCCCCGACTCTGGCACCTTGAACCTCGAAGTTTGAGAATTGGGAATCCCCCCTTGCGATCACCTGCACACTATCGCTGCTCTCGACGACAACATGGTTCATCTTAGAGTAAAGGAAACTGCCAAGAAACAATCATGGTCAATATAAATGCGACAGCTATGGATCTCATTGATCTCAAGCCAAAGGAAGTGACCAAACCCAATCTGCCCCGAGCTGTCACTTACAGCATCTCTATAATGGAAAGCGAGATGGATCTGGATAATTATTGTTAGGGTACAGAAGAAACATGTAAAAGGAAGCAATGGGATGAGGATGGGGGTCAAGTATGAGGTAACTCTGGCATGGGGAGTTTTTTTCTCGAGAGGGTGTCTCGTACCATGCTGGCTTGTCAATGAGATGTATGAACTTACGGCTGTCGACACCCGTAGCTATTATACGTCTAGTTAGACAATCGCTATCGTATAGCAATACTATTCTATGGAAGATGGGACCATATTAAACAAGTGGAAGGATATGAGATAAACTACCCTAGTACGGCGTAAGGCTGTTGGCTTATTGCCATGTTGGCTGGCAGCTGCTGCCATTAGTACAGAGCGCATGTTAGTGGAAAGACATCAGGTCAATTTCAGCACCATATTAACCATACACTCAGTTGAAGTCTAAGTAGTAAGTTGGTAGGACCAGTGAATTCAAGAGAATCGTGATATCAGCAGTTAATGGTAGAGCATGAAACACAAATGTCATGAAATATAATAGATTGTACGATAGCAGTAGCTACTGGCTATCTCCCATACCAACAGTAGGGAAAATGCCATTTATCTGGCAGTAGATTTTGGTGTCTGTCTCTGTTCTATCATCCTCATAACTGCTCGTCTCTTTATCCACAACCCCCCCCCTTTCCCTTCTCTTTCTTGGAGCGCTGATTCGTTAATTCACTCCGTCTACCAAAGATGCTATTTTGGTTCTCTGATGAAGCTGTGCAATGCTAGGTATAGCAAAGCAATGGCATAAATTGGGCAACAATCAAGAAGATCCCATACTCCCAGATATACAAGTTTGGAAATACAAGCATCGATGAGATCTTTTGTCCACTGGTGGCTATGATGCTTCCTATCGGGGATCGCATAGCTGAGAATGGTCATGTCTAAAACTCATTATCACCCCTAAGCCTGCTGCGTTGGGATCTGCATGAATCCGTCGTAATATTCATCGAGCCAACGAGCCGCTTGAACACCAGATTCATCGACACTTGAATCCCATCGGCCTACCGAGCCAACGTAACCGTCAGGTCGGACATTGACAATGGCGACTTCGCCAGGTCCAAGGCTTCCAAGCCACTTGTTGGTGCAGAGCGAGCCACGAGTATCTTGGTCGGGAATGTCATCCAGGTAGAAAGTCCATCGGCTGTCTTGTAGGAGAGGAGGAAGATCTGAGATTTCAATTTCTGTCTTGGGCATGGTTGCTGAATTGTTGTTAGCACAGGGATCTAGGTGAAAAGAGACCGCAGTTAAAACTTACTAATGAGACCGAAAGTGAAGAGATGGCTGACAACAGTGTATCGCTCTGGTCGGGAGTAGACATCCTCAGGAGCTGATGCTCGAGGTTGCGCGGCATATGAAGCGCTGGCCGCAGCGGATAGCCTGCTAATGAATGAATCTTTGCCAGCGATGGCATGACAGAAAGTCTGAAGGAAAGGTGCCGATTGCTGAACATCCCACATGAGAAGGTAGATGCGGAACTGGCCAAGCATAGGAATATCAAGCTGGATATCCACAGGGTTGGAGTCAATGTATCGAGTGACCTTGGCAGGGGGCAATAGGCAACCTGGTTTGGCGTCTCCCATCACGAATTGGTTATCACCAACTCCTGGTCGGTTGATAGCGTTCTCGCCATATTCAGCACCAATACCAGAAATGAAGCGCACATTGGTTCTGAAGTTTTCGGCCAAAGCAATGGCATCTCCGCCCGCAATTTGGTTCGCATGCTCATAATCAAAGTTAACCAAATCGAGGGCAATTTTGCGACGCTCCTCTTCATAACTCTCAAGCAGATTGGGCTTAGCCAAGCCTCTGACTGCCAGGTTCAACTTCCACGACAAGTTCCACGAGTCGTGCATTGAGGTGTTCATACCCTGTGCTGATTTAGGAGAGTGCGTGTGACTGGCATCGCCGGCCAGGAACGCTCTCAGATGGCCATCGGTGAAGCGGCTAGCAACTCTTTGTCCAACTTGATAACGACCAAACCACTCAACGTACTTCCAGTCCAAGTGAAATGGCGCCATGATCTTCTTTGCGCGCTTCATCATGAATTCCTGCCCAAGATCTCGACGGTCAAACTTGGCACCAGCCTTGAGCTCAATATAGAATCGAGTCATATTCCTTTCTCTGGGGATGATTAGAATTGAGCCATGCTCTTGTGAATATACCAATGTCTTGGACCAGATATCGGGGAAATTGGTAATCAGTTCACCATCAAGAACACCCCAGATAGCGGCTTGGGACATGCCAACGGCCTTGACATCAGGGATGCTCTTGCGAACCTTGGAGTGAGCACCGTCACCTAACAATCATCAGTCCCTGTAGGAAATTTCGCAAAAGTAACCACTTACATCCGATCAAGTATTGCGTCAGAACAGAGCGCTTATCCTGATTGACATTGGCACGACAATTGATTTGAAGGGGGCCGGTCTTGTTGTCTGGGACGCTGTACGACTCGAAAGCCATGTTTCTACGGACCTCCTTGCCTCGCTTCTTCATATCCTCAAGGAAGAGACCTTCCACCATACCCTGATGAACGAGAAGAATGTACGGATCCAACACATCAATGATGGGTGGGTAATGGACTTCGCGACCAAGTCGGCGCAGAGGCTGGCCGGCATCGCTGCGCCAGAAAGCAATATCAAAAACGCGGACACCTTGCTTTAATAGAGTATCTGAAAGTCGCATTTGTCTGAAGGTCTCAATCGTCTTTGGTTGTAGGCCGTCGGCTCTGTATTCAAGGTCAATTAAACTGTCCTGCTAGTAAGTTTCCAGGCTATATGGCCTTACCTTCCTACAGGAGTCTGGTCGGCCCGGTCGTCAATCACCTCGACATTGATTCCATATCTGGTCAGGTTTGTGGCCAGCATCAGACCAGCAGGTCCTGCACCAACCACGCAAACCTGACATTCCAATGGAGGCTCTGGAAGACTTCGGAGGAGAGCAAGAGGGTCTTGAAAAGGAGGAGGAGAACCTTCCTGGCGCTCACGGAGCGCTGGAAACGGTATTTCCATATTATCCATATCGTCAGACTGTACAACGCTGGGAACCATGGTACAATTGAAATTGATGTCAAGATCGCGAGATCACGGACGACCTCTGCCGGATCAAACAAGAAACAGAGTGTCGTCCTGAAGCAGTTGTGATAGGAAAAGCGGCGGAAGAGCTTGAGCTAGAAGTATATGTTGTCGCAAACGGATAGGTTGGCGGCAACAGGGAAGGTTGAGCGAAGCGAAACAGTGCCTAGTAAGGTGTAATCGTCTGGAATGGTCCACTCCGTTACTAGGTATTGTGCGTATCAGATTCGGGGAAGTAGGCTTGTCGAAATAAGATCTTCGCAATCGAACAAGTCGCAGATATTCGCAGGTTTCGAGGAGGGCTCGCGTAATATTAATGGATATATGTATGATTGGAATTGATTGTATGGCGAATTCGCGGGGCAGATCGGCCGACTGAGCTTGAAACGGGCTGACAAGGGGTGTGCAGCTACAGTAGACTACGGAGAATGGCAATCAGGAATAACGAGACGGCGACGATGATGGCGAAGACGAGGACATGGACGAGAGGCGACAGAGCACGTAAAAGATGACACCGGAGTGAAGAGAAGACAAGGAGGGAGAAGGGGGAGGCTAAGTAAAGTATGAAGCTATTCCGAACCTTAAGAGGTCAGAAAGATATAAGATGGGAAACACAACACCAATGTAACGGGCAGTTACCGGAATTCGGGGGCTGATGGGAATTGGCGACCAGGGGGTGCTACGAACAGGTAAGGTAGTAGTTTGTAAGTAAAAAAGAAGAGCAAATAAGAAAGAATGGACGGAAATGGACATGCAAGTGTCAAAGAGGGCTGGTGCAATCGCCCTTGGCTGGACCAGAAAAAAAATGGCATGACATGATTATCGCCAGAAGATCGGAGTCCAGCGACGCCAGACCTGACGAGGCGACAAGAAATGGGCTGATGTCGCGGGAGATTTTGCTGTCGGGCTGGCACATGGCTCCACTCAGTCGACACGATTGACACCTCCAACTGGGTCTAGCTTTCCCAGGGTAGCAGGGGCCCCTTCCCAAACTACAGCCCTTTCCTTAGGTTCTTGAACCTTTCCTTCCTCGCTAGCTGGCCAAGCTCTTTCACTCTTTTCTACTAGGGTCCTTCCTGCCGGAGCTTGGAAGGGTCCACACCTTGTCTCTGATGAGTCCCCACTCAATTATCTAATACATGATTGGATGATAATTGAAGAATTGTCATTATCATTATCATGGTCCTGTTTTCAACAACCCCAGGACCCCTGATAAAACACGGAGGTTATAATAAAAAAAATAGATGAAACAATATGGGATTTGACCATTTGTCATTTTTAAACTTAACTTTAGAATATGAGGGTCGAGCCAAAAGTACGGTACTGAAAGATCTGCCTCTTGGGATGGTCTAGCTTAGAACTGACCAGGCCTAGACTATGTTAGACCAATCTTCAACACCACATTATACAATGATTCCAGAGCCAGGCCAGAAAAAGACGTTGAACCCGTGCCACACGCTCGCGCAAAGAATCCACTTCCTGCGGCTGCTAGTCTCTGACGGAAAACGTGGTGCGGACATATTATGTCTTCGCTCGTCTCTTCGCTTGTGTCTACAGCTCTGATAGCCAATCCTGTCAAGGATCAGTACTCTTTATGTATACTCTCCATCCTGTCAGCTGCAGTCAGGACGAACGAGGGAGCATCAGGGTCTAATATGGCATGTTGTTAGGTTCCTTTGCCTTGGACATCTCAGGGTTCCCTCTCTGCAGGCTCAATTTGTAGCCCTGAACCAGGACATGGAAGCACAATTCATCTCCACCGAGTCCGTTCTCGGCCGGTGATTATCAAGCACTGGATTGTCCATTTACTATCTGAGTTTTGTGAGAATATCGTCACCAATTCGTTTCAACACCTGCAGACTTTGCCAATTCAGGGGGCAAGAGAACCACGCCGTAGCTTCAGTTTACGTATATGAGCCGTCTTATAGACTCAAGTTGAAACTGTCAATGAGTGCTTCACAAATCCCAAGTCATACGCTCAGAAATTGTGCTATTCTCTTTATCTGATAACGGAGTGTCTCAACAGAGTCTACTGTCGTTGCACATCTCCCGCCCATACCGCCTTGTTACTCCATTATAATACCACCTATTGTCGACTCTTCATTTCTTTTGATCCTTCAGCCATCCGCTCAACGGTATCAGGGATGGACCCTAGTCCCACTCTACAGTTGCCCTTGTCCCGAATACTGATGGACTACAATCCCTGGAGCTAACAACGGGAAGGGCGGGCATGTAAACGATGATCATCTCATGATATATGTACTTTAGTCTGTTTGGCAGACCGGCCCCCCTGTTCCTACCGTACAGTACTTGCATACCTTACGTCGCATTCTCTTGAATGCGTTCTCATGTCATCCAAACAAACGCCGTCATGGCACACATCTTCCGTTGCATACTAAGCGACGTCGTCTTGTCTGTAGGCGCCTTACCGTCAGCTCTACCATTGACACTTTCCCTATAGGGTCATGTTCGAATCCTTCAGATACGCTTTGACTAATCTATCGAATCATTTTATATGCATCATACCTGATACCGTCTCAGTTGGGATTATGTTATATGAACCTCGACATAGTGACACACCTGCGTGCTCACAATATCAGGTAGTTGGGGCTACTTAATGTAGTATCATACTGTTATTGAGTGAAAGCCACCAACAGGATGGAATCCTAGGTGGACATAACACATCGGCTGGCCCGGATTTTGGTATTTCGGGCCGGGAGTTCTGCACATACCCTTTGGTTCTTTTTCTTTCTTTGTCTGGAACATCGGTCAGGCATTTGTCAGTTTAAAGTCATCATATTTCATCTATTAATACACACAGAGCACTATGATGCAAAGATACTTTCATGCCTTTAGTCATACTTGGGTTGTTAGAACCAAAATATAACTATGTACTATGTGGTGATTTTCAGCTGCCTATCGACAAATCGGACATGGCCGACACTTCTACACTTATTGCACGGGGGTTTAGGCATATTTCATAGACAATAAACAAATGTCGAGTTACTCTTCTCCACGGGGAACGAGAAAGCTAGCTGGCCCAGCTTTAACTGCCAGAAACCAGAACTGTGCTCTCGCCTGCATTATCAGCAGCACCCTTCTCATGGCCATCTTTTTCAAAAGAAGCATCCACATCCTCGATAACCTGGCGACCACTGAAGTTTTTCATGTACGACTGCGCCTTGGCTCTCACAGGGATTGCATACCAATCTGGCTGCATCCGCAAAGCAGCTAGTATGCTTCCAGTGCCCGGAATGATGACAGTACCACTGCGCCCAGTGAGAACCTGCTTAACTACAGCATCAGCCACTGTCTCAGGCGCCAGAGGTGGCATCAGGAAATCAGTGTTCTGGTAGTAACCCTTGAAGAGAGCAGTGTTGGTAGGTCCCGGGTGTACGATGACAGTCCTGACTTTGGGCGCATTGTATCGCGTAGCCAACTCGGCAGTCAATCCCTCGTGGAAGGCCAAAGCAGCTGCTTTTGAGGCACCGTAGTCGACAAGGTTGGGGATCGTCAACCAGCTTGCATAAGAGGTCAGAGTGACGATCATGCCGTGGTTGTTCTCAACCATGTTGGGGAGAAATGTCTTTGCTGTCCAGAATGGCGCAAATGCGTTGACGTCGAAAGTGAAGCGGATGTCACTTGGCTGAGATTCCAGGATGGTCTTTCCTCTGGCTACTCCAGCGACATTGATAACAACGGTCGGGTGTCCAACTTCAGTTCTGATCTTTTCGGCAACAGCTTCCACGTTCTCGGGTGATCGAAGGTCGCATTGATAGTAGTGCACGTTGGCCGCTGATATAAAGTTAGCTATCTTGTCTCTTCAATTACCTGCACCTCACGCACAAGTAGTAAAAGACATGGGTTGAATATCAAGCACAACCACTTTAACACCCATCTCCGCGAACAAGTTGACGACTCGACCGCCAATGCCTCCTGCACCGCCTGTCACGAGCACAATCTCGCGCTCCCAGTCATATTCGTCGTCAGACCAGTTGTTTCTAGTCTTTTCGGATAACCAACTACTGGCCCATCGCACGAGCCCAAGGTACAAGAGCGTCTTGAGGTTCTGCGAGGCACTCGGGTGAAGAATCGAGAGATCTTGGCCCTTTTTGGTGAAACGGGCAAGGAGCACGAGAGGGAGGATCAAAGCTGGATTCAACGCCGTTTGCCGGATCAGCCGCACCACCACATCAGCGCAGAAGCCTTCGCGTGGAAGGAGTCCTTGGTGGATAGGCATGATACGACTCAAAATGAACAGAGGCTATCGCTGAATCGTAGGGTTATGAACCACGGAAACATGTGGTACGAGAAAGCATTCCAACCAGGCGAGTGGCGCCCTTTTCCCATTCATATGGGGGGACTGCATATTGTGATTACCATGATGGACACACAGACCGAGGCTCTTTTCCACGAAGAGTTACCAATTCGCGACTTGCTGCGATTACCTACAGGGGTACAAGGAAATCTGGGGTAATACGACATAGTCTATTCGTCAGAAACCCCGGAAAGGAGCCCAGCACGTCTGCTTGCGCCGAGTGAGGCGGTCTATCATAAGTAAACGAGAGTTAGAGGTAGAGAGGAAAGATGTTTCCCTCGGGAGCTGTAACAACCCCGCAATTAATTGAAGCGGGGATGATTCCTAAATTGGCAATCGATGGTGATGGCGATGTGGTGACCTGCATTGGTTAGCGGATGAAATAGTAAGAGGTTATATCATTTGTCACTTTTGTGTCAGTTCTGTAACACTTGGCCTACTCCATAGTTGATGAGCAAATTTGGGTATCAGATTAAACGTGGTAATAACGACATCTACATTAACATAACTATAAAAGCACCCATAACCCCAACATAAACCATATTAGGACCAAGAACAGATCCTACCGATTCCTCACCACTTATATCGAGTTCAGTCGCATCGCCAGGCGCAAACAAAACGCCCACCTCATTAGCTGCTTCGACGTCGACATCTTCAGGCGAAAGAAGCTCATTCGACAGCTCATCACATGACGGCCGATCATTATCCTCCGGAATGGAATTATTGACAGAAATAGGAACGTCGAATATGGTGTAGTAGTCGTCACCATTGAATCTAAAGTTTTGTCGGATTGAGATCTGCCTCATGTTAGGTCTACACCACGTTGCTTTGAACTGGTACCATCTCAGTGTCGTTCTTACATTGTAAACCCCACGATCACTTTCTCCTTCTGGCGCACCGTCTCCAACAAGACAATCGGGCCAAACCCAGTTGACATGCTTCACTGTGCTTCCCGGTTCTTGCGCCATAATCTCACCCAGGCTGGCGTTGTTAGCGCTGGCCGTTCCATTCGAAATGGTAAAGTTGCGCCCCGTGACGTAGCTGTAGAGAAACATCTCGATGCTGAAAATCTGGTTATCGTCATTGCTGTCATCGTCGTTTGACGGCAATGGTAGTTTGCCGTTGGCAGTCACATCTATAGCGACGTGGAGGGTGTCTTGTTCACTCGTGTCAGTGCTGAAGCCATCTCCAAATAGAAATGCAGTATCAACTTACCCCCTCCAAGAGGCGTGTATGGTTGAGGTGCATCTAGAACTACAAAGCCAGGAGTAAAAATCTGGCCGTTGGAAATCGTAAAGTTGTCAGCCAGCGATGGCCCAGCGAGGAACAGCACAGCTGCGAGTTGACGTGAAGATATCATGGTTGGAGGTAGTATTTGCTATACAATACACAGCCAGGCGCAATGAGGAAAAAGAGACTAAGAACAATTCAGGAGGGCCACCAAAAGTATTATCACGGCAAAGATTTGATTAAATCTGCTTTATTTTCTGAAACCGGATATTTGGGCTTGGCCATGCCTCCAATACAGATAGATGTCAGATCTCTGGTGGATGGATGTTTGAGAAGTCCTTAATAAGAGTGGAATGACTAGGGTATTTTACCGGCTAATGAGGCTATTGAAGACTGGACGCAAGCTGAAATTCATCTACATATGCAAAACCATGTATTCATACTATCAAGTGGAATAATACTAAGTGGCCCATATTCATGAGTTTTATATCTTAATGTCTAGCAGGTAATGTACATATTCCATATAAGAGCCCGGGCCGGCCCTTCAACATACAGATCCCTCAGCGGAATTACTTCCTCAGTTGTTGTTTAGAGCCTTCTAAAATTAGTTAGAGGCTATGTTTACCGACGGAGCCCTCCGACGGCCAAGGAACATCGCCTACTTTTTAAGCCTCTTAAAGCTCTATTAGTTGATCCTTGTGGAGCTCTTTATTTTATCATGACAGATGATAACCTCGCGATAGGCAAACCATTGGCTTTTTTCGCCATCACTCATTTCACTGTGAAGTTCCGAGGCTCATAATAATACGGGGTTTTTAGCGCTAACTCACTGAACTGGACCCTTTCCCCTCACTAAACAACTATTAAGGCAGGTAGCTGTTACTGTAAATATTTATTTCATCAATTCTGGGGCAAACTCGGGTCAGCTTAACATCGACAAAAAGCTGCACCATCAAGACTTACCACCTCTCAATTCATAGAAATCCTGCAAAATGAGGTTGTCAAGTCTCATCTCTCGGCATGGCTCCGTCCTACGCCGATGCTCCGTAGCCGGAGCCCGGCCGATGTGTTCTCACTCTCAACGCCGACTCATGAGCTCTTCCTTGGCTGGTGTGAAAGAGCTTCTCAAAGTCTCGGACGAGATTGCCGATGCTGTTGCCACTAACAAGCCTATCGTTGCGCTCGAGTCAACCATCTACACTCACGGAGCTCTGGGCAATGAGCTTGCTCTTCAACATTCCGATCTTGTTCGCAGCAATGGAGGAATTCCCGCTATCATTGCCATTGTCGATGGTGTGCCTACTGTTGGTGCCACAGCCTCTGATATTCTCCGCATGATTGAGAGCGGAAGTGCTGTCAAGGCGTCTAGGCGAGATATTGCCTATCTTGCAGGAATGGTTAGTTAGCACGAATACCGATGGCGTCGCTGTATTCAGCATGTACATCTTCGAGCCTTGTTGACTTGAGATTATGGTGGCTGACTGAGACTTATTCATAGGGCTTGACTGGAAAGAAGATCCATGGTGGAACTACCATCTCCGGAACTATGCTTCTGGCAAGACTAGCAGGTATCCGTGTCTTTGGAACTGGCGGCTTGGGTGGTGTTCATCGCGGCGGCCATGACTCGATGGACGTTTCTGCTGATCTCACTGAGCTCGGACGAACCAGAGTTGCTGTCATCAGCAGTGGCTGCAAGGGCTTCCTCGATATTCCCAGGACCCTCGAGTTCCTCGAGACCCAGGGTGCTCACGTCTCAACCTTTGCCGATGGTCGATCAGGAAAGATTGAGTTCCCTGCTTTCTGGGCTCGGGACAGTGGCATCAAGAGTCCTTCTGTAGTCCACACCGAAAAGGAGGCTGCTGCCATCATCCTCGCGCAGGAGAGGCTCGGTATTGAGTCAGGCTTGCTCTTCGCAAACCCCATCCCCGAGGAGTTTGGTATCCCTGCCCCTGAGATGCAGTCATACATCGAGCAGGCTGTCAAGGAGGCCAACGAGAAGGGCTTCACTGGAAGCGCCAACACCCCCTATATCCTGGGCAGGCTCAAGGAGCTCACGGGAGAGAAGGCCGTCATCGCCAACAAGGCGCTGGTAACCTCCAATATCACCCGGGCCACCAACATCGCTGTCGAACTCTCACGGTTGTTGTCTTCTGGTTCTGAGCCAGTCAAGACTTTGTAAGTACAGCGATGAAAACGGTCCTGGGATGTATGTAAATCTAATCGTAGCTATAGCAATTCATTTCCTGTCGCTCCATCTGCTGCTCCATCTGAGCTCAAGGAACCCGAAGTAGCGTCCGAGAGCAAGGCTGATATTCTTGTTGCTGGCTCCGTAGCTATTGATCTAAGCTGTGACTATGCGCCCAAGTCGGGTGGTTCTTCGCCCGTCCTCCATACCTCCAACCCATCGAGTATCAGCCAGTCCATTGGAGGTGTCGGCCATAATGTAGCGCTCGCTGCCCACTCCGTCAGCAAACATGCTCGAGTGCGGCTTTGCAGCATGGTTGGCGATGATGTGTAAGAATGCTTTTGTTTGGAAAGTAAAGAACCAATACTGACAGATGATGCAGTGCTGGCAAGACTGTCCTGAATGGACTTCAGGCCTCTGGCTTGGACACAACCTATATCCGAACACTTGGTAATGAGTATCATGGTTCAAACAGAACGGCCCAATACGTCGCTGTGAATGACGCCAACAAGAATTTGGTCATGGCAATGGCCGATATGGGCATCTTCACACACCACTCGTTCCCCGAGTATTGGAAGTCTGCTGTGCGAGGAACCAAGCCCAAGTGGTTGGTAGTGGACGGCAACTGGAGTGAGAGGGACATTCGGGCATGGCTCAAGGCTGGCCAAGACCAAGACTGTAAGGTCGCCTTCGAGCCTGTGTCTACAGCCAAGTCCATGAATCTTTTCTGCCCCCAAAAGGGCCACCCCAAACTTCGAGTCTTCCCTAAGCCTACGGTGGACATTGCATCCCCCAACAGTTATGAGCTGGAAGCTATGTACTCTGCAGCTCGCGATAACGGCTACTTTGAAGCGCCTGAGTGGTTTGACATTATCGACGCTTTTGGCATGCGAGGTGCTCGACAGCGCTTTGTCCACATCACCTCAGCGGAGCTGACTGATGCTGGTGTTCCTGTACAGTCTGTTCAATTACTTCCCTACATCCCTACTATCGTGACAAAGCTTGGCCCTCAGGGTGTTCTTCTGACCACTATCCTCGGAAGAGACGATCCCCGATTAAGGGATCCCGACTCGGAAGAATACATTGTCGCCCGCTCAATGAGCCACCCAACAGTTGGTGGACTTTACATGCGACTATTTTCCGCTGCCGAAAAGGTTCAAAACATCGTTTCTGTTAACGGCGTTGGTGATACTTTCTTCGGTGTCTTGATCTCTGGTTTGGCGCAGGGAGGGAAAGTCGAGAACCTTATCGATGTTGCTCAAGCAGGCTCATGTTTAACTTTGAAGTCTCACGAGTCCGTTAGTCCCGACTTGCACCGACTGGAAAGTGTCTTGGCACAGGCCGCAGCTCAATAATCTGATATTATGTAGATATCCCGTATAAAAAGTAAATGCATATTTTTCAATTAATCAATCATCTGTAACTTCTACTTACATGTCAGTCTGGAGGATCATCAGCCTCGTTGGACTAGTGGACAATGATTGGCTAGAGTCCCACTAACAAACAACTTCATTGGCCTATCAAAGTCAGTCGCAGGTGCAAGGCTGGCCGGACCCTCTAAAAAAATTCCATGCAGTAAACATTTCGTCCAAGTCAGAACCCGCAAACCTCACTTCGGTCGAAATAAACCATAACCAAAAATGGCGCCACCACAAGACGAAGACATGCTGGATCCCTCATCTTCCTCCTCCTCGGAGAATGAGTCTCAATTTGACTCGGAAGATGAGACTCTCCAGAAAAAGCCCACCATTGCGCTTTACGATAAGGATTCGGACGAAGAAGAGTTGGAACGTCTTGTTCTAGGTAACAAGGCTGGTTTCCGTGCGCAATTGTTCAACGATGATGGAGTTTTCAACAGCAATTGGGATGATGAGGGCAAGGAGCTTCAGCTCGCTCAGCAGGATCCTGGTCTGGAGGATGTTGAAGATGCCGATCTCTTCATGTTTGATACCGGCACTGGTGCAGGCGCTGCCAATGTTACCCAGGCTGCAAAGCCAACCGATTCGAACGCCCCCGCGTGGGAGGATAGCGACGACGATAGATTGGCAGTCTCACTTGCTGGAGCCACCCGGTTACGAAAACTACGAAAGACGGAGGCTGAGGATCTTGTTAGCGGAACCGAGTACAGCCAAAGATTGCGACAGCAATACCTTCGACTAAACCCTCTTCCCGCTTGGGCGCGCGAATCAGACGGACGACCGACCAAGCGAAGACGATCATCAGCTGCATCCAACTCTTCAGACGATAGCGACGCGGACTTGGAGGTTTCTGCGCAGCCTCTTGAGAAGTTCCTTCGAGACGTCAACAGCCTGGCTGGAGTTGGATCAAGCCAAAAGAAGCGCCTACGGCCCGAGGTCATTGATATCCAACGCACGCGAGAGATCCCAGACAAGCACAATGCACCCGTTGGTTGTCTTTCTTTCCACCCCGAGTACCCAGTTCTCCTGTCCTCCAGCACCGCCTCTATCCTCTATCTCCATCACATCGCGCCCGCCGCTCATCCTACACCTAACCCTCAGTTGACCTCTGTGCAAGTCAAGCAAGTCGACGTTCGACGAGCTGAATTCTTATATCCCCACGGCGACAAGATATTCTTTGCTGGACGACGAAAGTACTTCCACCACTGGGACCTTAAGTCAGGAATTGTACAGAAGACGACGCAAATCCAAGGACATCGACTTGAGCATAAGTCAATGGAGCGTTTCAAGCTCAGCCCGTGCGGTCGCTACATGGCGATTGTGGCATCTACCAAGAAGGGAGGCGGTATCATCAACGTTTTGAACACGACGTCTATGCAATGGATTGCTGCTGCTAGACTAGCGAGTCGCAACGGCATTGCTGACTTTGCTTGGTGGAGCACTGGAAATGGAATGACCATCCTTGGAAAGGACGGCCAGGTCGGCGAGTACAGCATGGAGAGCCGCTCTTTCTTGGGTGTATGGCACGATGAGGGCTGTGTCGGTGGTATTGTCCTGGCCGTTGGTGGCCACCAAGGCCCGGCTGTTCTAGGCGATGATCGCTGGGTTGCAGTCGGCTCCAACAGCGGTATCACCAACATCTACGACCGCAACGAGCTTCTCGTCCTCAACTCGGAGGAAGTAACCATCAAGGAGCGCCCAACACCCACACGAGTCTTTGAGCAGCTCGTTACACCCATCACACACATCACCTTTTCTCCAGATGGTCAACTGATGGCTTTCGGAAGTCAGCACAAGAAGGATGCGCTGCGACTGGTGCATCTCCCTACTTGCACAGTTTACCGTAATTGGCCCACAGATCAGACGCCTCTTGGAAGAATTACGGCGGTTGCCTTTGGAAACCAGAGTGACTTGTTGGCGGTTGGTAATGATACAGGAAAGATTAGGCTGTGGGAGATCAGGAATTAGATACTTAATGGGCATCAAAACGGCGTATGGTTATCTATGAGTGCTATTCTCGATTTTTTACACAAGTGATTTATCCCCTGTGCTCATTGCCCCTTATCAACACTCCGCACATATCCTCGGTGATAATCAACACATGGCTAGTAAATCAGAATCTTCAACAAGGTGGACAGTGGGCTACCATTGGGTACTTTGCGCTTGGGGAAAAGCGCCTTGTTCTTCTTCGTCCAACGCATAAGCGCGCTTCTGCTTTTGAAAAGCGTGACTCCATGGGGTTTGTCGTCACATGCCAGAAATTGCTTGATGTTGACGTTTACACCCTTGAGCGCCTAGCAACGGTCAATATCGCAACATCTGTGTTTTGGTGCTTGACTTACTTGTCGGCATTTCGTCTTGCTATGCAAATCACCAGGAAGGCTTAGATCGACACACAGTCGCTGAAAATTTTCAAGGTTGCCCTTTTGGAAATAATCGTTCCATTGTTCGAGGAGAGACATGCGTTTAGTGGAAGACTCGGACAATGTTCTTGGCGTAAGGGTCAAGGCCTCGATACCAGCGACTATGTCGCTCTCCGAATCATCATACTCGAAGATAGTCGCGGCCGATGTATTCTTGGGCATTGTAAAGTTGGGTTGAGTTGAGTTATTCGGGTGGACGGGCTTGTTGCTGACCTAACTCGGTGCAAAGACAGAGTTTAAAAGGAGATTAGGGACTATAACGAGAAAGAACATTGATGACTCTGAAAGAAATTCACATCGGGTATTGACAGTTTATGCATGCGGTGAACCTTGAATTTATATCGCCTGGCGGCATTCACTACATGCACCTGCTGCAGTTTGCCTGCCGTCCACGCAGTAACTAACCGCTCATTGTTTGTTCTATAGTGTGCTGCTTTCACCTTTGATTGGTACCTTTGCACATCACAAGTAGCATAAAACAGAACTTTTGGAGGATAAGAGATAGCGTGGCTTCATTTGTGCCAGTTACTGTGGTGTAGTCCAGATCAGTGGCATATCTGCACGATCCCGTTGCATAGTGAGAAACAACAAGCAAGCTTCCTCATACGCTATCATATTAAAAGGCCAAAGCTCGTAGTGCTGAAAAAAGGTGCAAGCTTAACGGTAGTATCACTGAAGTGTAACAAAAGAGATAACATTAGTCAAGTTCAATAAAGCCAGAGGGCTCTTGAAAGCTCCCTGTGATCAGCAGTGTTTCAACGGAGTAGTTGTAACAGAGGGACGTTCTCTCGTCGAAATGTAATTCTTGAAATCTTCCGTTGTAGGGATTGCTACTGGGAGACGAGAATGACTGCACCATCTTATTCTGTAATATCGTGGTTATATTCAACAACAGTTGATCGGCTTCCATAGCTCAGTTGGTTAGAGCGTCGTACTAATACTTCATTCCGAGTGTTCGGTAATGCGAAGGTCTCAGGTTCAAGCCCTGGTGGGAGCATCGCTCCAGCGCCTATCAGCTGTAAATTTTTGCCTATTTTTGCTTTACTTTTTTCCGTCTTATATCACACCAGGTTCACTCTCTAGTGGGTAGCAGAAAAGTTAGCCTCCTAAGCCTTAGTGTATAAAGATAAGTAGTCTAAGAACTATAGCCTAAGGAGCATAAAGTGACCTACCAATTTCGTCTCGTATCCTTCTAGCGGTCAATTTTTCTGATACCCTGAGGACTCTTCCCTGATATCAATCAGAGTTAACTTTTTCTAAACTGTATGACTCTGTTTATCTGGGTACCATAAGTCACTTGCCAACACTGTCTGAAACTCTGAAAAGCACAACCACCCTCTTCGTTGGAAAGCTCAACAATGTTCCACTCGAGCATGGCCGATTTCAACCGGCTACAATTGTCTCATTTGGTGACTGTTGGAGCGACTTACATACAGTTGCTGCACGAAACCCTGCTTGAAAATAAAGCTGTGGATCTCAGACTCTCCGGACGAAAGCCGAGAGAATGGGCTGGGATTTCGCTTCCGGTCTACGGGTACAGTACATGCGGGCGAGTTCATGTATGTACTTTACAGGATGGAGCCGGCCGCCGATACAGAGACCGTTGACCTAAATAATTTTATTATCGTGATAAGACAGAAATAAGTATGCATCCCTAGAGAGTACTTGAGTCAACATCATAAGATACAATCTATTTCAAGGCGTGGTCAGATCGCTGTAGGGTAAGAGAACCAACGCCGGTCTGAGATTGCGGAGAGAATCGGGTGAAGTATAGACAAGGATGTGATGATAAGACCATTACATCAAATCCGGGAAGTTCTTTAGAAGTAGAGGCCTTCCGTTTAATACGTGTTGATTACGGATGTGGTAGTGTAAGCTGCGTGTCGGAACACCATTGACAGATTCTGTCAACCTCAATTGGTCGACTAATCACCATGAATGACCCAAGACGGCCTCACCCAGGCTTTTTGAGCGCACTGATGAAGTAATTCTCAATCAGAGTTGGTGCTGCAGTCTGCAATGCACAATGTGATATGCAATGCAGAGACTGCACCGTACATAAATGCCGCCGGGGAAGCCTGGCATGGAGTGCGCAAGCGTGGCCTGACTTGTACGATCTGGATGGAAGTAGACCCAGCGGCAATGGTCAACGGATTCACCAGTGGTCAGATCTCGACGCGGAATTACGACAGGATTGATTTCAGGCGAGATTTGTTTCTTGTATTGCCGGTCATTGCAGTATTGAGTTTTGCCCAGCGAGATCAGGACAGTTGGCAAATCAATGCAAAACTTCCTTACTGACGATCCATCCAGTCTGGAACACGATTGATTAGAAGGCCTTAAAAGAGCTGATGGTCTATAGGCTTAAAGCGTCCATTCAGCTCGTTAGAAAGGAATGATGGTGTGCATGGTAGGGCTCAAAGTTTCAATGCTTGAGTCATGATTGGTTAACTAGCGCTTTGTCATCTTTCAGACGACAACTCTTCAAAGACATCTACTGATCAGCAGCTGTTTAACGAAGACCGTGAGTTTGAAAAAGGGAACTAAAGGGAAAATCAATTGACCAAATAAAGCACACAGTCAACCAATCTACCGGAACTAACAAGAGAAAGTTCAACAAGGCTGGCTGACCCGAAAATGCCTGATCAGTCCGTCATATACTTGCCTCAAGAGATATTCTTGGATCCAACGAGAACTCCTCTATACAGCATGTCAGCTGTGATCACATTGCTTGCATTTTAAGCGAGAACAAGGATTCATCCTATGGATCCGATTAAAACCTTCTTTCCTTGTTTTGGTAGCCAAGAATGAGGCTGCTGGACATGCAGAGTGCTCAATCCCTTACATATTCTAACATGAGAAGCTGGACGCACAAAGATGGAGAAGCAGAGGCACATCATATCATAGGCCATAAAATTTGATCTGAGACAAGCAGTAAGCAACAAACAGCTTTAGCTCGAGCCCAAATTTCAGCCGTTAGTATCCTGGCATTTTTCTGATCAGGACCTCACTTATCGAATGATAAAGGAATTAAAGACCAGGGTTCAACTGTTCGATTTTATAGTGGAGTTAACCATGCGAAAACCCCACTGAAGCACCCACAAGCTTGGGCCAGCCTCCAACTTCCAGGGGATGTTGCAAGGTTATCAACCCGCACTAGAGCAGCACTAGCAGTGCTAGGTAACTATGACTTGCACGCAAATGCAGGAGGAAGGCGCCTTGCGTTGCGTGCTATCGGTGTCGGATCTCCATAGCCGTTTATCAAAGCTCGATTTCGTCGTGGGGGCAGTGGGTATTCTATTACAGAAGGAACTTATTAGTTAGAGGAAGGAAGAATTTTGGAAAGAACTAAAAAAGTCAGAAGGAACTGAAAAGATGGCAAAAAGTACCAACTCCAGACAGCTGGAAACCCAATTACAGGTCATCAGGAACTGTCCCGAGCTGAGATGTAGTTCATCATATAAATTAAAATGTCACGCCACAACCGTCAGCCAGATGCCCCGGATAACAGGGTCTAAAGGTCTTGCGCCTTCCATCCCATCTCACGCCCAGCTTGCCGTGGCATGATACTGACCTGGTCTACGAGGAACGCACGGAAGTATACAAAATACCACACCCAACGACCCCCCTCCCCGCCGGCGCGTCCCGGTAAAGAGTTGCTGGATCATGACAAGACAAACAGTCCACTTTGTCATAGACTCTGTGAGATGCCGGGTCATGGGCAATCTGCCTTGAAGGAAATCGATCCATGAGCTATCACTGCGAGCACTGCCCGTTCAAGGGCAACCGGCATCAGTTGCGGGTAGAGAAGCAGGAACAATATCATCAAGCAGATAATCTTTAAAAAGACCCGCCACGCTTCATGCGCCGTGCAAGGTCGTTTCCCCTCCCCCCTCATGTTCACCAGTGAAAACACATCTTTTGCTCTTCGCGATCGTCGCAAGCATTAGTGCTTCAATCTCTTTAACTTAGCTCAACCAGCCACAGTCTTTTCCCACGGCAGCATCTCTATCCGTATACGGTCACAGTCGACGTTCCATTCAACCTGCGCCAACGCACATTCCTGGAAACGCCCTGCCGTTTATTGATCCAACCATCTATCTGCCTACTGATAGACAGTCCCTTGTTAGACCTAACAAAGTATCCAAGACTTTTGGTCCCCGCCTACATCTACGTCTTAGTCGATCACTCCCAGACTACAATCAGCACCCCGTCGCCGAGACTTTCCTGCCTTGGTATCTGCTTTTCATTGCGCCTGGCCTCACTACTTTAATCTTTTCTTCCCCAATATTCCTTCTTTGTTGAATTTTTCATTGCCGATCGACAAGCTCTGTATACAATCTCAGTTTGAGTACACGGAAGCATACAGCAGGACGGCCTTTGATGGAAACCCTGTGCCATCGAACACCACAGCTCTAATCGCAACGCCTTCTTAAACGGAGGTTGAAAAGTCCAACGTTGGTAATCGGTTTCACTAGAGGCTGACTCAATATGCACCTCCGAAGGTCAAGTAACTCGGCCGATGGCCATTCTTCCACGCCTTCACCTTCATTCTCCTTGTCAAGCGCCAAGCGTCGATTCCCTCTTCTAAGTAGGAGGAAAACTCGACACTCAGACGTCTCAGAATCCTCGGCTCCTCCATTGGCATCGCCATCTGCATCACCTTCGCCCAACCAGAACGATACCAAATCCAATCTTCGAGTGCATGTTGATATCAAATTTGAGAGCCCACACAGCTCTGAATATGTCCGCGACTATGAGGCTTCATCCCGACTAAAGGCTACAGATCGCATCTGTCAAGCACTTCTCTCGCGCCTGCAGCATTGCTCGTCCGAGCTCATCACACGCCATGACAGCAACGCACTCGACCCGCTTCGCAAGCCTCATCGTGATGTTAAACCGTTGCGATACCGCATCACATATCGTGTTGAGCGCGATGGTATTAATCTAGTAGAAAAGTCTTTGCGCTCTTTCCAAGAGTATGAGTTGACGCACGATGATACTCGCGAGGTTGTTGCTGCCACCGACCGAATTATCGGCCTCTTCTTGGTGCGCCACGACCCCGGATTCCGATGGTCTGAGCCTGTTGAGAGCGAACCAGCTAGTCCTGAGTCTGAGATCTTTCGACCGTGCACAGGCCGGCCTCAGTCCATGGCATGCAT